TGGTCTCACCTCAGTGTTTCTAATGACAACCTTAGGATTATGGGTTGTGCAACCTCCAAACCCATTCCAGCATCACGAATTTACACAGGCTCTCAGAGCTGACAATCTCTGCACCATTTTGCGCTGCTCTGGCCTAGGCTGACTGAGTGCGCCCTGACTGTGTACACAGCACGGTGTGATACCCGCCTGCCGGGACTGCTGCTGCCTGCATCTTCCCAACAGGTCTTGTGAGCATATCCCTTGCAGGGACCCTAGCCTATCAGCGAAGGAAAACAGGCAGTTCACAAGAGTTCAGGAGATGCAGAGGCCACCCTGCAACTGAAATCCCCTGCCATTTCTCTTGACATCGGAACAAAACGGAAGATTTTGAAGTGCTTTTTCTATAAATGTGAGGCAGGGAAGAAGAAACCAGTGAAGGCAGCTGTCATGTCCCATTAGCTGTGGCTTCACTACACCTTGCATGGCATGTATGTTATGTTCATCTCGAGTTGATCTAAACCTATGGACTTTTTAAGCTGGGAAGACCTATCTAGTTCTTCATGCTGTTGAGAAAACCGACATGAAGGGAGGTTAAGTGACTTGGCACAGGTAATATAGCCAGTGGGTGCTCTTCCTGAAAGATGTACAAATATCTCGAAAGAAAGGGCTGGTATGAGGGCTCTCAACCACTCTGAGGCGGAACCATGGCCTGGACGACAGGATGCTTTAGCCATTGACTCTCAGCCAGGCACCTAGCCAGCTGGGAAACACAGCGACATCCAGGTTTCCTCCACCCCACCTTGTAAACCTCTGTTAGCTGTGGTGGAATCAGGAGGGAAAGTAACCCGTGAATACATTAAAATACCACCATCTCACTCCCTCCCCTCCTCTCTCTTTAACTCTTCTGTTGATAATGCAGAGGTTTTAAACATAAAGTCAATGTCTCCATTTTACACTTAAAAGCTTTTACAATTATTCCATTTTAAAATTGCACTGTAAACTCATTTAAGGGGTCCAACGTGATTGGACTTTAATTCATAGGACTAAAATATCTTAAAATTAATTGGAGTAAGAATTCCTCTACATCTGGTATATTACATGATGGTGCAGAGGAAGAGACACATATAAACACAGGTTTATAACTAACTAGGAGGATGACTGTCCATCTATATGTCTGTGATGGTTAATACTGAGTGTCAACTTGATTGAAGGATGCAAAGTATTGGTCCTGGGTGTGTCTGTGAGGGGTTGCCAAAGGACATCAACATTTGCATCAGTGGGCTGGGGAAGGCAGACCCACCCTTCATCTGGTGGGCACCATCTAATCAGCTGCCAGCGAATATAAAACAGGCAGAAAAATGTGAAAAGGTGAGACTGGCCTACTTCCAGCCTACATCTTTCTCCTGGGCTGGATGTTTCCTGCCCTTGAACATCAGACTCTAAACTCCTCAGTTTTGAGACTCCGACTAGCTCTCCTTGCTCCTCAAGCTTGCAGACAGCCTATTGTGGGACCTTGTGATCCTGTAAGTTAATACTTAATGAACTCCCCTTTATAGATATATATCTAGATATATTTATATATATTATATATACATACATAGATATCTATAAAGGGGAGTTTATTGTTTATATATAAACTATTTATGTATATATTTTATATATATATATATAAAATATTCATTCTGTCCCTCTAGAGAACCCTGACTAATACAGTGTCCCAGAAAATTTTACACATTATGAACTCAAAGGCACAAGCCCGAATAACCTGCTGGCATTAGTCTCCAAACTCTGTCGGTACTATTTAACAGTGAGACTAATAGCACGACCTTAGCTCCTAGAGCAAGGAAGCCATTGTCCATCCTGCAAAACTGTCTTTTTTTTTTTTCTTTCTGAGATGGAGTCTCGCTCTGTCGCCCAGGCTGGAGTGCAGTGGCATGATCTCGGCTTAATGCAAGCTCCGCCTCCCGGGTTCACGCAATTCTCCTGCCTCAGCCTCCCGAGTAGCTGGGACTACAGGCGCCCACCATCACAGCCAGCTAATTTTTTGTATTTTTTAGTAGAGACGGGATTTCGCTGTGTTAGCGGTCTGTGGTGGGATTAAACAAGGCCTTTATTTCATGCCTCCTCCCTGGTAAAAAGACATACATATTGTCAGGAGACTTAGAAAGCTTGTTTAGCATCGAGTTTGTCCTAGAGCCCAACTCAGTCAATTGATAAAGTCCCTATGGTTAGTAACTTTAACTATCAAGTTTATGAATTGAGACTTATAAATAAAAATTTAATTTTTTTACTTTGTTGATTTTGAAATAAAAATGACCAAAATTATAAATCAAAAAATACTGACAACTCTAGTAATAAGCGCCACTGCCCTGCAGGAACCAGGGTTCCTTAGAGAGAGGCCTGATCCCAAGTCTGAGACCAGAAATGGATAATGTGAGCTGGGACATCCTGTTCTGTAAAGAAAATACCAAAAACTAAGATGACAAGGTCAAAAGGACAAAGGGGCCAACCTGAAGGGTATCCCACTCTCCCAAAATGGAATAATCTAAGCATCAGTTAGAAGACTGCAAAGGATTGAGGCACGACAAATACACAGACATTCCTGAGTTCATAAACATCCTAGAACAAACACAAAGCTGACTAGACCACCCAACCCTTTATTCTAAAAATTGATACAAGGAAGGAATTTTTTTTCTGAATAAACTTTTATTTCAGGGTATGCAAATAGTTAACAGGAGAAATTCCTTCGTTATAGAAGACTACAAGCTAATAAAAGTAGAAGAATGATAGAATTAGGAAATGATTTTGTTTTGCTTCCTTTTGTTTCATTTTGCAGCACCTAGTCAAATAATGGATCTTGGCAATAAATGTCAGGTAAGAGGCTGTGGGGACCACACAGTGGAGGGATCAAGCTGACAACACAGGAACTCACACATAAATCTTAATGACCATCACTAACATGAAATGATAGCACGATGCTGTGGAAATCCACACCACCCCCTCTGAAGCATCATTCCCAAGGCATTCAAGCCAAACTGAAGCAAGTCTCTGGATCTGCCCTTTGGTTTAATAGGAAATACAGCAGATAGATAGAGAAACAAATTAGACAACACCAAATCAGCAGTGTGGGACATTCTACAGGGCAATTGATCTAATTTCATCAATAACCGAATGACATGAAAACTCGGTGAGAAAGAGTGGCAGTTAGAGACATAAGAGACTTCAGCGGTAGAATCTCTAAAAGTCATTTGTGGACTTTGGATCCTGATTTAAAAACATCAACAGTGAAAAAACATTTTTGAGATAGTACAGGAAATTTAGAATATAGACTAGACATTAAATGATGACAGGGAATAATTATTAATTTTGTTATTTGTAACAATGGCTGAATGGTTAGATAAAAGAAAAAAATGTTTATCAGTTATATGTGAATACTGAAGTATTTAGGCTAAAATAATACGATAGCTTGGATTTCTCTAGAAACATTCCAGTGGAAAAAAAAAGAAAAAGTTAAAGAATAGATGAAACATGATTGGAAGATTATGGTAATTTTTCATGCTGAATAGAGGGACTTGCGAACTTATTATACTTTTTTTTTTTTAGAGATGGAGTTTTGCTCTGTCACTTATGGAGAGCAGTGGCATGATCATAGCTCCTGGCCTCAAGTAATCCTCCTGTCGTGGCCTCGCAAAGCAGTGGGAATACAACATGAGCCACTGAGCCAGCTTTTCTTTCAATTCTTACACTTTTCTTTCAATTCCTATGTGTGTTGAAAATTTCCTATAATACAAGCAAAAACAACAGGGTTATTAAAAGAGATTGTTTCTTGTAAACATTAGAACCCAAAATATCAGCTCCACCCACACACTGTGCGCACTCTGTATGGGAGACTGTGGGAGTGGGAGGGAGATGTTGGCTTTTTCTGGGGTGGGATTACAAGTACTGGATGAAGGCAAAATTTCTTCTGATGGAGCCCAACAGGGGGAGAACATCAACATAAAGTCAGGTTTCCTGACTCGTGCAGCACGGGAGAGTGCACACCACAGGAGCCACGAGACATCAAGTCAAACACAGGACTAGACAGAGTAGGTAAAATTTAATGAAGCTGAGCTGGAGAGACTCAAGCACAGCAAGTTTGTGTGCCAAAGAGTTAACAGTAACCCTGGCCTAAGAAGCCGATTCAGGTCCCTCAAAGGGAAGACAAATGTGGAACGTTGTGTGCAAAATTCCCACGTCTAGAGCTCTGCAACTGAGGGGGATATTGAAGCTACTTCTCCATTGGTCAGATTGGCCCATGTGGCTCAGCTCATATAGACAACAGTTAGATGTTCCAGTTTATTGAACTGATTTCAAACAACCAGAGCTTTAGAGAACAAAGTTTCTTAGCACTACGTCCTTGATGATAATTAACAAAGGCAGTTGTCAAAGGCTCACAGTGGTACAATACAGCGACGACAATCGCGTCCCCAGACCCTGCTCTCTTCCTTCTAAAACTCAGCTTACAAAGCACTGTGAGGCTCTCTCTCACTGCCCAGGCGGGCATGAGGTCTCTGTGTTCCCAGAGCCTTGCCTGTGTGTTGGGGTGCCAGAGTCCTCACCACTCCCATCACCTGCTCACTAACCCGTTAATCTCACCTGCTTCAAGCGCCGCCAGGGCAGGGGCTTTCTCCTACTTGGCGCTGGAAGTCCTGATCGGCAAGTTAGTCATGTTCCTTCTTATAGACCATGCCTTATACGAACCCTCACCGCAAGCTGTACAATAAAGTTTAACTGAGAATGAATGAACACATGTGTACCAGTAACAATAATCGCACCCAATGCTCACTGAGTATTTACTGTTTTCCAGGAACTGGGCTACACAGCTTACAAGATGTGTCTCATTTCACTTTCTACATGAAGTATTTAGACTCCAAATGGAGCTGGGTATATTCCCAGTTTCAGAGATCTCAGCCCTAAGGGGATAATTGGCCTGGTTCCTCAGAGCCAAGACCCCTCTCTGGATTTGCACACATATTCTAGTAGGTATACCTTTTTTTTTTTTTTTCCAAGAAGGAATTGACTGCTTCCTTGTTTTCCCAGAATTCTATCAAATTGATGAATTTTTCTCCTTCCTGTATTTTCTTCCGCCTAACAAATATTTAGCAAGTGTCCACATGTACCCAAGCGAAGCACATTCCTTACACAGAGGAAGGTAAGGAAAGGTAGAGAAAACTGTCTGTGTTGTTCAGGCAGAACTGTTACCACACTCTTCCCCAGCTCCTGCCTGCCTGCCATCTACACACACACTCACAACACACATTCAGAGAGGATCCACTCTCTCCCACAGAGATCCTCTCGTTTCAACTGCGGCAGCCCAAAGTCCTGAACTTTGCTGCCCCCTATTGATAGGCCCAAAGAATATCACTGTTGCTGCAAGGGTTGTGCTAGCAAGTAAAACAATTTTTTTTCACTCATTTTTCTTGTTTTGCTTTACTTTTGAAAACAAACATAGCAAGGTTATGCAATTATTAAAAGTATTATCAAATATATAGTTGCAAGAGCTATCATCTTGAATACGTAATTGCAACTGATACATTCACATCACTTTTGCTTGTACAGGTATAGACATACAAATTAATTCATCAGCCTGAGAATTCAGTTTAGCTTTATGATTTGACAAACTCTGATAATTCAGACTTAGCTTTATGATTTGACAAAGCTTGTCAAATTCGCTCGTTAGTGAAACCAGCAACCTTATATTTCTCTATTAGCCTAAATTATTTTCACGTACTTCAGGATTAAAATTTGAACAGAGCCAGAGGCAGGTCTAGCTTCCCTCCCTGGGCCAATCCTGTATGCTTTACACTGGATGCTCCAGCCATGACAATCGCGTCCCCAGACCCTGCTCTCTTCCTTCTAAAACTCAGCTTACAAATCACTGTGAGGCTCTCTCTCACTGCCCAGGCGGGCATGAGGTCTCTGTGTTCCCAGAGTCTTGCCTGTGTGTTGGGGTGCCAGAGTCCTCACCACTCCCATCGCCTGCTCACTAACCCGTTAATCTCACCTGCTTCAAGCCCCGCCAGGGCAGGGGCTTTTTCCTACTTGGCCCTGGACCTGGAGCACTGAGTGGCCCCAGCATGATCAGAGCTGTGAGTGTCTGCTGAATGCGTACGTGAAGACGGTAGGGGAGAGCCAAATGAGACAGGCTCAGCCGAGGCTGCAAGCGAAAACTGCAGGAAGAGCATCTGATTCTGATGAGTAAAGAGGGAAAAGCTTGCAATGGATGAGATGGACTTACATCAACAGCACAGGTGAAGAATGCTCAGGCTGTATTTTTCTTCAAAGCATTTATAACAGACCGTCATTACCTCTTCGTGTGGCTCTTTAATTGGTTAAGTCCCTCTCTGCTCCTTAAGCTGTATGCTGTTAACCTCACACCACATTTCTGGGTTGAGTTTCGCACCAAGAATTAGCTAAGTCATAAGGAGAGGTGTATAGCACAGTGAGGGTGGACCAGAGGCCAAGGAGGGAACCTGAGTTCACAAAAGGCAGGAAAAGACACAGGACTGGATATTAGCTGCAAGGAGGTGTGAAACGGGTTTCTGAGGCCTGATGTGGTCTGGAACAGATCTTAGGCTCAGTGTCAGGAATGCCTGTTTTAAGTCATCTAAGAGCTGAGAAAAAGTGTAAATCAGATTTCAGAGAGATGTGAGAATCCTTCCAAGCCGGGTCCCAAATGACCAGCAAGGTCAGCTGGGTACATGGGTACATCAAAATCTACCGTGCCTATCTCCCGCTCAATCTCCATTTGCTTCCATTGTCTCTCTTTATAATTGAAGACAAAAAGTGATCTTAGCTCATCCAGTTTCCATTTCCTATTCTAAAGATAAGTAAAGTGAAGTAAAAAGCATGATGGGGTGGACATTCAGACTAATACTAGCTAACTCGCACTGTGTGCTTACTCTGTGCAAGGCACTTTTCTAAGTGCTTTATATAATTATCATTTCAACCTGTTACAGGTTCAATTGTGTCCCTCCTCCCTCCTTCAAAAAAGACATATCGTAGTCCTGACCCAGTCTGTGAGAATGTGACCTTATTTGGACATAGGGACCTTAGAGATTCAATCAAGACAAGGTCATTAGAGTAAGCCTTCATCCAATATGGCTGGCATCCCTGTAAGAGGGAAATCTGGACACAGTCAAACCAGGAGAACACCATGTGAAGAAAGAGACACACGCACATTAATGGCCACGAGAAGACACAGGGCCACACAGACACAAAGGGAAGATGGCATGTGAAGACGGAAGCAGGTAAGTTACACTGCCACAAACTAATGAACGTCTGTCACCACCAGAAGCTGGAAGCAGCAAGAAAGGATCTCCCCTAGAGGTTTCATGGGGAGCATAGCCTGCTGACACCTTGATTTTGGATTTTCAGCCTCCAGCAATGTGACAGTAAATCTCTGTTGTTTTAAGTCACCCAGTTTGTACTTTGCTGCAGCAGCCAAAGGGACTAAGACAGAAATCCCATTATAATGTAAGAGTAGCTCTTAGGAAACCAAAGCTTGAGGTCACAGTTAGTTAGAACTCAAATCCAAGCTGTAGGAGTCCTGAACCTAAATTTTTAGCCACTACATTTTATTGCTTCTTAGGGACAGATTCAAATCTGACATTCATCACTAGTGATGAATGAAGTATCAGGTAGAACATTCATCCTGAGCTAGCCTACTTCTCTGTAAAATAGGAACAATACCTAAATCAGAAGGCATGTGAGATCCACACAAGCATCATGCTAACACGCTCAGCATGGGCTCAGCACAGTCAGTGAACGATACACAGCAGCTGTCCTTGTCCAAGGTCACAGCACTACTTGGTGGTGAAGTCTGAGTGTCCAACCCCAAAGCTCTGCTACTGCAGTTGGCCCTCTTGACCTCTTCTCCCTTGAAACTGTAACCTGTGATGAGGCAATGAAGGATCTGCAATGAACTAATGATGATTTAATTCATTCTTGATATACAATTTAGAAGATCCTCCCTCCAAACACCTCCCCCAAAAACCTACCTAAATTGCTTTTCCATTTCTCTAAATGTTTATTTAAAAAAAGTTCCCATACTAATACATCTTATTAACTAAAGGATTGTTTCTGCCTAATTCTATGTTTATATCCAAAGCACTATACTCTATTTCTCATTGCTCCTTTTCCTTACAGTACATCTCACTTCCACTCACAGAATAGAGATAAAATTTCTTCCTTACATCTGTTAGAAAACAAAAGGTCTCTAAAGAGCAAAATACTTTCATTTAGGAGACAACTATGACAAAATACTTAAAAATAACATTTATTCATTGAATTCCTTTACTGCACATGATCATTTGTTTGATGTATAAAAAGTATCTGTGACACTAGTATTAAATTAAAATTAATTTTACATTTTACCACAATAAATGTATATATAGTGTAAGGAAAACTATAGATGCTTCCAGATCACCAGTCTAGAACATATTCTGCGAAGTGGCTAATTCACATTGTATTCTTCTTTTAATACTGAGTTCCATAAAAATGCAAGTTCTTTCATTGTTTGGGTTCTGAAGCCAGTATTCGTTCTTGTCACCAATGAACAGTGTTTTGAGAAAACAGTTTTCTTTGTAAATATTCCACCAATTCACGTCTTGAGTTTAGCATCCCAATCTCATAATAGGGGATCTATAAAGGTAGAAAAGTAAAACTGGTCAAGATCCTTCAAAATCTGAGGTTCCTCTGGCTGTTGGTTACCTTGTTTGTTTCTTACACGCTTCCCCACAGCAGAATGTAAGCTCCTGAAAGGCAAATATCCCAACTAGCGTCTTCATCTTGTATCCCCAGTGTCTAGAACAGCGCCTGGCACTGAGAAGGGGCTTGGTAAATATTGGATGAATTAACATGTAAATAAGAATCAGACATGATCTCTTGTTCTCCAGGAGCTCACACCTTGGGTGGCAAGTTAAATTACACAATAAATATAAAAAACAAGCTGTAGGTTGGTGATCTAGTGCTGAGAGGGAGTGGGCATTTCATTAGATGAGGGTGGGGATGCCGACAAACTGCTGGAAGGTAGGTATTCAGAGAGCTGGAAGACGCAGCAGGGACAAAGAGGGAATGAAGAGAGACAGCAGGAGGCTCAGCGAAGGAGAGAGCCTGCTCAGCTGGGAGCAGAGGGGCCAGGTAGTAATCACGCGCCAGGAGCCTGGCTGCAGGCCAGCCATGGAGGGTCTTGAATGTTAAGATGTAGAGAAGTTTTTACTTTATTCTGTAAGCAGTAAAGAAACAATGAAGGCTTCTGAGCACACACTGGCATGATTAGTTTTAGGAATATTCAGCTGGGGATGTGCAAGATGGAGAAAAAAGTCAGCAGATATGAAACCACAGTGCTGCCTAGTATAGACAGCTTAGAGAATTAGGGCAGCTCTCCTTCTCATGCACTGCTGAGCCCTCACATAAGACATTCTTATATTATCTACGGTGAAAATACTTAAAAGGTCTTAAATATCAAGTGTTGGTGAAGCTCCTTATTTTAATGGATTATCTTGTCCACTTTTATTTATTAAATCAAGGAGAAATTAAAACAGAACATATATTCCAACAATTGAGTAAGTCTAACAGTAGAGTTAAGCAGAGCTTATAATGAAGATAGGTAGGCCCCACTTTTGAAAAATCAAAGCTCTGAAAATTCTGTATTTCAAAATGTAAGTCAAGAGATTTAAGCCAAATTACCAACATTGGGATTTAAACTAGACATAAGATCGGTGGTTCACTGACTGGGCTGGCAGACCAGTGAGCACTGTAAAAGTAAATTAAAATGGAGCCTGTGCCTGAAAAATCCCTGAGCAGACCAAGCTAGTTAGGCCTTGAAAATAACCTTAACTTTGTTTAAAAGTGCAAATGTTAAGCAAAATTTAACTTGGGCTATTTCTTGTAAAAGCTTCTACTGGAGAAAAACAGAGCTTAAGCTCAACCAGTCAGAAGCATCTCACAAACTAATAATTATATAACTAGGAACCTTCCACAGAATAGTTCAAACAAGGCAGCAAGAACATATAACTGTAACCAGTCAAGTAGATTCTTTGTGTACTTGCATTCTTCCTATAAAAGCCTCCCTCTTGTGTTCCCAAGTCATTTTGGGTTTTGCGCTGTCCAATTCAATAACTGCTGTTTGATCAAATTCTTTAAAATTTTACTGTGCCTCAGATTACTTTTTAACAGTAACCTGGAAAAAAAATTCGAATTAGGACTTGCTTTTGGGAAACAAAAAAAATAGGTGAAACTCTACCTGAACAACTTGATAACCAAGTAAGCGTAGGTGTCTTTGTTTAATAGCTTCTTGTCCCAGTAAGTGTTTGCTATTGGAACAAAATCTTTTTGGACCATCAATACACAGTGCTATCCTGAAAAATAAAAAAGGAGAAAAAAACTTAATTTTTAAAATAATCTGAAATATTTATTATATATTTTAGTTGCCAAAGTTTATTTGGGATTTGGCTATTACTATGTGCCAATATTATTTTCAAATGAATCATGAATTTGATCTTATGAATATTAATGCTTATAAAATATTACAAAGAATTTCCCAACATAGTATTCTGAAATGTAGTATTTTAATTTCCAGAATCAATATTTCTTTCACCTTCTTGAGAAAAAGATACCACTGCTTATTAGCCTCAACAAGTCTTATAATGCAAAAAACACAATATTTTTCTGTACCTTTCATGGATATCTTCATTAACTGTGAATGGCAATACAAATCCTTCTTCATCTAATTTAATTTCAACATCTGGTAAGAGAAGAAAGGAAAAATTCCTCGTGTGATACCCTCACAAACACTATCTTCCTGTATTCATTCCTTTGCTCTGCTTTGATTCCTTCCATATTGCACTGATCAATTGGACTGAAGGCTGCAAAGTAATGACCACAACCAGACAATGGTGAGAATTTTAATTCAATTGGCTTTATGATCAATCAAGTCAGCCTTAAATTAAGAAAGCTCAATAACACTAAACCACAGAATGGGTTCTGAAGTTATCTGGGGTATGACAAGAACCATGCATGCTTTCTCTTTCCCCTTATAACAGGTGGCAGAGATCCTTCAATCCAGACTGAAGAAAACCCTTGAGTTAAGCCGTTAGACATCTATGCAACTCATAACTTCCATCATTCCAACTTGCAGCGCCTCCATGATAAGTAAAGAAAGCATGCTGCACCCAGACACCTGGTCTGCGAGCACAGAAGGCTTCACTGTCCTTCCCCTCTGGTAAACTGCAGTTCCTTTCGTAAAGAGAAGAGAAGTGACCATCTTAAGCCTATGAACTGCTGTCCTTTATGAGAAGGCTTTCTTCTCCTCATCAAGTTAGAAGAACTGTAAGGACAGAGGACTTGGAGTCTCTAGTCAGTGCCACCCAGGAGAAATCTCTGTGATGTGGAAATCATTATAAAGGCGCTGTCCAATTTGGCAGCCATGAGCCACATGTGGCTACCGAGCACTTGGAATGTGACTGAGGAATTGAATTTTCTTAAACGTTTAATAACTTAAATTTAAACAGCCACATGGTCTAGTGGCTACTATATTTGGACAGCGCAAGCCTAGGTTATAGTAGTAGCTAACAATTAGTGAGCATTTCCTATGTTCCAGGTACTATTTTATTTAGTGCTTAAATAAGTCTTTGAGGTCACTATTACTATCATTTTACAGAGGAAGAAGCAAGCAGAAAAAGGTTAAATACTCTGCCCAGGACATACGTGGCTAATATGTGTGACTTAAACCCAGACAGTCTTGACGCAACAGCTCTGCTGCTAACCACCTGTTTCAACTTGCCTTCAGGGAAGGGACCATTCCATTTTGCATTTCCAGAGACCTTCTATTACTTTTAAGTCCCATGTATCTCCAAAGTCGAACAGGATGCTTAGGTTTAAAACAACAAAACTCCTTATACTACTTACCTACTGTATAACAATAGGGTGTCAACACTTTTGGAGCAAAATATAATCTTGCTCCTAAAAGGTCAATCAGCCCAATCTTCACAGATTTATAAAGCTGAGAATCCATAGGGGTCTCCAGGGAACAGCATGGGGTAACAAATGACTTCACTTGATATTTGTGAAGGAGTTTTGGACCCTAAAAAATCGTAAGCGCAAACATGAGAAAGAAAAATAAGATATAAAAACTGAGAATAAATTGAAGGTTACCTAGGTACAAAAGTTTGATATAACACTACTTTATAGGCATGATACTTCTCCAGGAATTGGGACAGGCATCTCTTTCAAAATGACAATGCAAACGTCTATTGTTATAATACAAGTCTAATAGTTCAAAATGTCTTTTATATGTGTTTTTACAGTAGTCACTGGTTACTATAAACAGAAAGAAAAGTAAAGAAGGAAGGTAAAAAAGAGTGAGGAGGGAGTGAGAAGAAACATAATAATGCTAACAGCTCAAGAAACATTTTTAGAACTAAGAATTGTCCCAAGGGTCTTAAGTACACACAACTCAAGTTTTCAACACAGGTTTAATTTCTCTAATCTGAAAATCCAAAATCCAAAATGCTCCAAAATCTGAAACCTTTTGAGCACACACAGGCTGCTTAAAGAAGATGCTCATGAAGCATTGTGGATTTCAAATTTTTGAATTAGGGATGCTGAACTGGTAAATATAATGAGAATACTTTAAAATGTGAAAAAAATCTGAAAGCTGAGACACTTCTGGTCTGGAGCATTTTGGATAAGGGGTACTCAGTCTGTAATGGAAAATGTGACATAAGTGACATTCCAAATTAGGAAGAAAAGGATAGCAATATAATAAACGATGATGGAAAAATGGTTATTTATTTGGAAAATAACTAAACTTCTGTCATCCATTACACACTCTAATAAATTCCAAGTGGTACAACATGCTGACTATAGTTAATAAGAATGATTGTATGCTTGCAAATAGCTGAGAGTACTTTTTTTTTTCTTTTTTTTTGAGACAGAGTTTCACTCTTGTTGCCCAGGTTGGAGTACAATGACGCGACCTCGGCTCACTGCAACCTCCGCCTCCTGGGTTCCAGCGATTCTCCTGCCTCAGCCTCCAGAGTAGCTGGGACTACAGTCGTGTGCCACCACGCCTGGCTAATTTTCCGTATTTTTAGTAGAGACACGGTTTCACCATGTTAGCAAGGGCTGGTCTCGAACTCCTGACCTCAGGTCATCCAACCGCCTTGGCCTCCAAAAGTGCTGCGATTACAGGCATGAGACAGTGTGCCCGGCAGGAGTACATTTTAAATATTCTCACCACAAAATAAAATGATAGGTATGGAGGTAATACGCACGTTAATTGGTTTGATTTAGCCATTTGACAATGTATACATATTTCAAAACAACACAAACACAATAAGTATATACAACTTTTACTTGTTAATTAGAATACATATGCAAATAAATAAAAATTCAGTTTTGCTTTTAGATCAAAGACCTAAATAAAATTTAAAAGATATTATTTTTTTAAATGTTGTAAAATATTCATGCTCTTAAGTTAGACAGGAAACTCGAAAGTCATAAAAGACAGATTCGACTACAGAACATTTAAAAATACATCATAAGTAATATTAAAAAGTAATGAAAGAGTACAAATCAGGGGAAAATATGTACAACATTCACAATAGTTAGTATCTGTTTTACAATGAGTCCTTAAAGACAAACCATCCAACAGAAATAAATTAAGGTGTAGAAAGCAATTCAAAAGAAATGTAAATGGCCAACACATATTTGAAAATATGCTAAACTTCATTAATGCTCATTAATATGCAACTTAAATGTATATGATGCCCTCTTTCATGCAGTTGAGTAACACAAATTAAAGAGACTACTAACACACTGCAATAGAAGTGGAGGAGACATGGCCATCTTCATTCATTGCCGGGGAAATGTGACATCTGTAACTATTAGGGAAAAAAATTCTGCCATTGTCCATCAAAAATTAATCCAGTGATCACATTTTTAGGAATCTAGTTTATATATGAAAAAAAACAAAAAGGCTCTAGTATGACAGGATTTGCAAGAATGTTTATTATAGCATTCTTGATAGAGACAAAAGTTGCAAAAATCCTCCAAGTGCATCGATAGTAGAATAGTAGAATAAACACCATGAAATATCATGTCTTTGTAAAAAGAAGCATGTGATCTGTATGCACTGGCCTCAAGGGATGGCCGTGATATACTACTGGGCATAAAAGCAAAGTATACTTTGATTAGTCAGTCTCATTCCTTGAAAAGAGAAAAAAAACAGACAGCATTTATGTATCTGTATACATCTGGGCACAGAAACTGCTTTTAATACTATTCCTTTAGAAATGGTAAGAGATTGGGATTAACTGTTACTTATCTTTATATAACTTAGTACTGTCTAAGCTGTTTTTAAAAAGGGGTATTTTTCCATTCTTATTACCTTATTTCAAAAATCAGATACTCTAAACTAAGATTCAGAGTCAAGTAGAGAGAAGCAGAGAGAGAATGTTAGAGTCTGGTGCACTATCTCTGATTCTACATAAGGAATGTGATAGATAATAGGATAAATCTTTATAGGTCTTTATGGGAAGAGCAAACTCTAGGTAAAGTAAACTCTATTAGATAAAAGTAAAATTTCTGGCTTGGCTTAACAATGTACTGTACTTGCAAATAATTTAGGTATTTGTGCAGTCCAGACATTCACACTTTGATAACAAACAGCGATGGGAAACCTAGTAGTAAACCTAGTAGTAAAACCCTGTAAAACCTTCAGAGAGAATGGAGAAATACTGTAACTCACATGCCTGCAGCACTTGATAAAACCTCCTAAGAAATCTTACACAGCAGGAAATTGTTCCTTCAAGAGCAAGAACACGAAAATGGGGTCAATTTATCAAAGAAAAGCCTATCTGGTGGCAACTAACTCCAAGTAAATGAAATTCTGCTTTTTCAGGAGGTTATTGAGACAGATCAAAAACAAAGGAACTTAATAGGAAACTACCTATAGGGAAATAAAGCCACATACAGTTCATGCTTTTACCTTATAGAAAGGGCATTCTAGGACTGAGGTTAAGAAAAGTTGGGTCAGTCGTGCCCGACTCAATCTGTCCAAACGAGATTCTTCACCTAAAACAGAAAGCATCCCAGTCACAGTTACATCTGAACTGAGGTATGTATGAAAGAACACCATGAACATTCAACATCAATTTACACACTCCAGACAGAAGTATTGTACTTTTAAATGACACTATGAAATGAACTTGTTAGAATTAATTCTGCCCTCCTCTTGCCACCAATGAAATTGGCTTCCAAGAACCCAGCTCCTAGCTACCGAGTACAATTAAAAGAAAGAAAATATGTTCACAGAATTAGTGGAAATTTCCTTTAACTATGGAATTCCGGAAATATGTGAGTGGCCTTGAATCGAGATGAACAATGCCATCCTCTCAAAAAAAAAAAAAGATACAGTTGCTCACTCATCAGAAGTTCTAACATGTTAATGTGGCTATTCCCACTACCATCACCATATCGCCTAAGAATGCTGCAATTTCTCAGATAAGGCAAAAGTCAGTTTATCTGAGACAGCTTTCCTCCCTTTATACGAGTTCCTAGCATGCTTTAACTCTGTGTTTATGCCAGCGTCTGTCAACTTCAGGTCTCATCTTCAGATCACTATGGAAGAAAAACTAAAGGCAACACACTGCCTTTATATGTGACTTGAAACCACTGCCAATTCAAAGGTTAACTTTTTCCAACTGTCAGAATTTATAACCAACTCACCTTGCAGCCGTTGAAGGAAAAAAGGGTTGAATATTTTTGCCATAAAGTTGACTGGATGGCATTCATTCAGTGAACATGAATGAAGAAGTTTCAATAATGTTTCAGGTGGAAAAGAATCGAAATGAGTGAATAGCACATTTTCCAGCTTTCTAAATAAAGCAGAGGCATTTGGTGGCAAATAATTGAGTTTCCCAAATGGTTCTATTAATGCAGAAATCTGACTAGGTGAAAATTTTTCTGATTGGCAAACAAAAGTTTCTGCCACTGCATTGAGGATGGGTTTTGAAAGAATCCGTTTTCTACCGCAGTACTCCATGACTCCGCAGACAACTTCAGGATCCAACGTGAGGCACACCACAGTTACACGATTCTCTAGGGCTTTTGTAAAAAATCTGTCATGGTACCCAAAATACAAGAACGCCTCCAAGACTCTCCTAAGCTCCTCGTTAGTGAAATGTGGGACATGCCTCACGACATATCTGCCCAATTTTATAATCAGAGGAAATGCTTGACTTTGATCAAGAACCACCAGGGCAGTGAGCATTTGGCTAATCAATTTAGGACTCAGGTTGGAAACTATTGAAAGGGAAAAGTTGTTTATCTTATTTAAAAATGTTTGGCGTTCATCCACTTTTTCAGCACATGCCTGCAAGATTCTATAAAGGGCCACAATATCCTCTGGGGTAAATGTTTCCAATTTTTCACCTTGCAGTTGATTTATAATCAGTTCTAGTGTCAAGCAACCCGAACTGTGCAGTCTAATCAGACTCTCCCCAAGAATACAAAGATTGCGAACTTCCAGGCCACCTTTTTTGAGACGATTTTGGCATTCTGCCACCAGGTTCAGTAACAGGCTACTTTGAGGATCCACATGCAACAGAATCAGAGCTTGCAAAGCAGTCACCAAAGTAGTGTTTGACAGCTGTGAGGGTTCCTTTTCCAACTGAAAGCATAAAGCTTGAAAGATGCTATTCTCCAGTATTTCTTTTGGCAACCCTTGATCACCATCCTTTTTTTCCACTTCACAAATTCGTTGTAAAGCTCCTGCTGCCATAGTGTCAGGCAGGGTTTCCATCGTGCTTATAAAACTTAGCACTTCTTCTGATGAAGTCAAGTTGCTCAGTCTCTTGTAAAACGTCTGACTCTCCCCATTTTTAACATTTTGTTCAAGCCTGACCCAGTCAGATATTTGAGAGAATACTGGCCCACTGAGTGGACGAAGGTCATTTCCATTTTTCGAATTAAACTTTTTACAATGGGCATGATGGAACCTGATCCTGAAAGGCTCAGGTTGTCGTGAACAGAACCAAGGGCACAGACGCTCCTTGACTACCTTGTGAACATGATTTAGAGGTTGACTTTTCAAAGCAGCTCCATGCATCCGAAAATCAGATAAACGATAAAGGTTCTTCCTCAAGGTGATTAATGCCATGCCATCAGATTCTCAATTTGATAACTAAATTAAAACATTTAAAAAGACAAGGTTAAATACATTGAGAACATGACTGACCCAACATCAATGTTGAAACTACAAACGAGTACCAGGGGGAAAAAAAAAAAAAAGGATGGATAACACATAAACACCAGCGGAGCAAGGTCTCTGCATCCTAGAATTAGAAAAGTGGCTGACATCCAACAATAACAATCGTTACTACTTGCTAAACACTTTCTATTAACTTACACAGATTAAGTACCTTTACCATCATTTTACATGAGGTAGAAGTTGAAGAGCAAAGTTACTTTGCCCAGTTTATGCAGGTGGTTAAGTGGCAGAGCTAAGGTTCAAACTCAGGCAATGTAGCTCTTAAGGGTGGCCCTTAAATGTTGGTTGAAGGGAGAAATTGCATTTGAATAGAAATCAAACAAAGAATAGGTAAAGTGGATGAAATTACGCGAGGTTAGAGCAAGGCAAGGGTAAAAACGCGCTGGAAAGGCCCTAAGTTGTTGGTTTCCCCTCGGTGTCAGGAGACAGGGTTGAGGGAAAGGGTCTACGTCGGCAATGGAAACAAAGTAGGAAAAGAAAAAGCACAACATAGACCAATGAAGGGAGAAGGTGTGGCGGCCAGTCCAGATCTCAAGACGCCGCGGGAGGATTTGGGAACACGAGTGTGCAGGACAGACATGCGTGATGCCCCGGGGCGCGTCTTCCTAGGAATGAAAGGGACCCGCGGGCCGAGCACCCCCAAAACTCGGCGCCCCGGGGACCTGCGCTGAGACACGGGTAGGGCGGCGCAGCCTGAGGAGAAAGCCGATAAGGTCTGTGACACCCAGCCGGAGAGTCCGCGTGGACACCTACCGCCCTCCGCCCGCCAATCACTCCGGGTGGCCGCGGAAGCGCCTGGGCGTCGTGGGCCTCCGTAGTAAACGCGGGGCGGGGCGGGGCGGGGCGGGAGCACGACTCACAGCCGCGCAATGTGATTGGCCCAGGTCCCCTTCGGAACTTCCTATTGGTCCTAGGTACGGAGCCTGGGCACTACGGCAGTGCGCATGGGCGCAGCGTTGGTGGAAGTCGCGCTGTGCAGGTGTGTCCTCGGCTGGCGCGGCGCAGGTAAAAGCGCCAGTGGCTACGGTTTCCGCATTCTGGCCGCTGGCCCCGCACTAATCCCGAGGGAGAGGCGGCCCGGGCCGGGGAGCGGGGGGAGGCAGTCGGCTTGCGCCCATGGTTCCCACGCCCCTCGAGCTCCGGGGGTCGCCGCGGGGGCGGGCTCGGCCTCGGGCTTGGCCTTGGCCTTGGTTTCCCCGGAAGCGCGTCCGGAGATTGGCGTCGATCTCTGCGCGCGGGGGCTCCTGGGTGGTGTGGGGCCTCTCCGCCTGTTCTGCCTTTGGTTCCAGGCAGTTTCTAGGACTAGGGAAACCGCACTCGGGGACGCGGGGAACGGGGGAACGTGTCGGGTTGGGGCGGCGCGCTCCGGGGTACCGGGGATTTTCCGAGCGCCCACCTGGCGGGACGCGGCAGTGAGCTCTGCCCACCGCCTCCGCGCCGCCCCTGGGGCTGCTGGGGTTCGGGCCTCCTTTGAGAGTCGTGGGAACGTGGTGCCGGGTTGTGGGGCAGTAGCAGGGCTGAGGGGTTGATTGATCCTGGGAAGTCCTCAGGATGTGTGTGTTTCATGGGAAGTGATAGAAATTTTAGCTGTAGTAAGATTTTCATGATCGTTTCCACCGTTTTCTGTGAGCTGTAAATGTGTAGTGTTTTCATATTGTTTATTTACTTTTTCAGATAACTTGTCGAGTACCTGTTTTGTGCCAGAGCCGTTCTGGGCGGTTCATTCACCAAAAGCCAGTATTTTGGTTTGGGTTTCAGTTTAAATCTGTCTCCACAAATTGACAGCCCACCAGTTTTAGCCATTAGATGAGTATGGAAAAAAAAATCTGTGAGTGTCGTTTGTTTTACTACTGCTTATCTCTTCAGGAAAATCGTGTTAGTAAAATGTTTTAAGTGGATTGGAAATATTTTTTCTTTATATGCACCTGTATGTAATATACGCATACACTCACATATTTTTGATTTCCATTAAATACAAAAAAGGTAACTGATGTGCTTCAGTTACCTTTAGTACTGTGATTAGTTTGTTTAGCATTAGGATCAAGTAGGAACTAAGAATCCTATCATTTTAATATAATTTTTGCTTTTATATTTTTTAAAAAAGAGGACAGCAAAAGATATTTAAGACTGTTGGGAATGATACTGTGCCTCAAGTTTTGTTCAGGTTCTTTTCTTGTGCCACATCCTTTTTCAGGTAGGTGGTAATAGTGTCATTTTTAGGATAAAGGAGCTGTGGTACAGATCATTTGGGGAGCTTGCCTACAGGATTGCACTTAGGAACCACAGATTCAAGCCCAAGTAGTTCCGAGCCGATAGTCTGATTTCTGAGCCATGGAATTAGAGTTTCATTCCTACACTCTCCTTAATTCGATGAATTCTTATTTAGGCTCATTTAAGATTAGTGCCAAAAACAAATTTAGAAAAGGCTATTACATATTACGTTTGGGTATTGTTGCATTGTTTCTTAAAGATTGAGGGAGAATCAATACCTCTAGGTTGTTACTATTTCATTAAAAACAGGATCTCTCTTTTTTCCCCCATTTTTCAGTTTCACTGTTACATGCCTTGAAGGGATGAGGAGGTTTCTGTTACTATATGCTACACAGCAGGGACAGGCAAAGGCCATCGCGGAAGAAATATGTGAGCAAGCTGTGGTCCATGGATTTTCTGCAGATCTGCACTGTATTAGTGAATCCAGTAAGGTTAGAGCTGTTACAACGGATTTTTACTGTTTTGCGCTTTGAAGAATTTTGGTTGGGAAGTGATGTTTATGAAACAATAAAGGACACTAAATACCACCAGATAGTCCTTGTTTTTTAACAGAAATTTGTTTGTTCAGTAGTATGGTAAGATATCACCAGCATTTTTTTTTTTTTTAATATAAAAGTGTGCAGTTGAATTAGACTAAATGGTCTCAAAAATTGAAACAAGTAACAACTGCTTCACTGTAAATGACAGAAGTAGCATATGCTGTGTCTATTTCACAGGGTGGCTGTGAGAACAAGTGAGATGTGTGTTTGCCTCTTCAGGTGTGCTTTCCGTCTGTTGAATCTCAGTGCCCCATTTTTTTCCCCAAAAGAAAGGCCTTGCCATTCGTGTTGGAGTTCCTCCTGATCAAGGACCGCTTAGATTCTTTTGTAAACTAGAATTTAAAGTAGTAGTGTAAGGATCTGGAAAACACTCAGCTGCTTCCTCAGGGACTAGTTGTTTACGTTCAGTCTCTGCAGAAGTTCCTACCTTAGGGTATTTGCAACTTTGCAATCTTGTGTTCTTTTATTTAGTTTGCTGCCTCCAGATTATACTATTTCAGACAATTCAGGTGATAGCAGTTGGCAGGGGCTTTATACCACAAGGTGATTTGCCAGCCGCTAAGCGGTTAAAGTTCAATTCAGAGACGGCCCTGCCAGTGCTGTCTCACTCAAGTGCACAACCCCCTCTGGCCTTTCCTGAGACTCTAGGTCAGAACGCTAGACTGTGTGCAGCTCAAGTGAATTATAAACCCAGCTCATGGAAGGAAACCCACCTGGTTCCTTTATGCAGCCCTGCCGTGGTGACTCTGGACACCAGAGCAAAGGGAGCTTCCTGGAGAAGACCGCCAGTCAGCCGACTCTGTCATTCCGCAATAACTTCAGTTCACATTGCAGTGCCACATGATGAAATACCTGCATCTGTTACTTTGGACAAAACCAAAGCCATCAGTATCATAAAACTAGTCCTGATTTGGCTCCTTGTGGTTGACCTCAGTAAGGTGATCAGCAGGTGTTTTGTCAGTCAGATGAATGGTGAATTTTTTTTTTTATTTAACACCAAGTTAGTCATGCTGTTTGTCCTCCCTGGCTGATGGTTTCCTCTAGCTGTTCATAATCTAATCTCCTTCCTAGTTCACATAGTCCTTTTCAAGATGACTTTACTTACACAAACTTTGTATACAGAGTTTAACACACAACTTATATAGAGTCTTGGAAGCATTAAATGCCTTGGTAAAAAGTTAGCTCAAGTCATTACCTCTTTTATCAGCATGAAAAATAAGGGGAATTATTTGGAGCCAAATTAGATGGTGTTCATGGGCAGTAGAGCTTGTGGAGTCCTTATAAGTAAGACAAGGAAGTGCTCTATTTGAATTATTTAAATTTACACGAGAATGAGAAGAAACTTGATTTGTAAGAGTTTATAGCTCAGCTTATAGCTAATGATATTCTCAGAGTTAAGACAGTGAAGTGCTCTATTTGAAATATTTAAACTTACGTGAGTATAAGAATACACTTGATTTGTAACAGTTTATAGCTCAGCTTATAGCTAATGATATTCTCAGCTCGGGAAACCTGAGGGAATGAGGAGCGGTTCTTGATAGCCAGCTCCCTGATTTAGAAGGAGTGACACTTTTAATTTCCGAGTTTTAAAATGCCCTGTTGTCCCTCTGCCTTAGTGTCACATGCAGTACACATGGCTGGTTTTATACTTTGCTGAAGATCTCAGAGCTGTGGTGTTTTTATTGCTGTCTTTCTTTACCACAGTATTCTACTTGTTGCTTCCTTGTCTTGCCATTCTAATCCTGAGTGCTTATGTATCAGTTCTCTTTACTTCGAGTCTCCCCATCCCATTTTAACACCTCTTTCCTTGCTTTTTTTTTTTTTACTTTCTTATGAAAAGACGTTTCCACCCATTTAGCTGCTGTTCCTCCTTGGCAGCTCATCACGGTGCCTCATTTTGGCTCTTAGCAGTGCTGATTTGCCTTGCAGATCAGAGCTCATGTTAATGTTTGGCCCATGACTCGGTGGCAAGGAGTTGACTATATCCTATTTCCTCTGATTTTTCTGAAAATGAAGGACCAGACTAGATGGAAACCTGGGACGGGTCTTGTCTGTGCCTTTCTGGTCCCCGACTCTCATACACCACATGAAGAGAAAGACATGTTAATCCCCCAGCCTCTTGATGAGCATCAACAAAACAGACGCATGGTTTCCTTGAATGACATCCTGCATTAGGCAACTTGATTACGCTGAGAGCATGTAGTCACTGGACTGGTCATCTCAAAAAACCTGGCAAGGAGGAAAATTGAAATACAAGACAGGAAACTAAGCTGATTGCTTTGCTGCTGTGTTAAATCAAAACTGCATGCAGTGTTAGGTCCCTGACTTGATATCCTTGTTTTGTAGTACGATCTAAAAACCGAAACAGCTCCTCTTGTTGTTGTGGTTTCTACCACGGGCACCGGAGATCCACCCGACACAGCCCGCAAGTTTGTTAAGGAAATACAGAACCAAACACTGCCGGTTGATTTCTTTGCTCACCTGCGGTATGGGTTGCTGGGTAATGGACTCTCTCTTCTGATCTTAATATAGTATACTGTTGTTATCTCTGGTATCTGAATTATCTTTCGGAACTATGAAGTGTGATCATAGAGGTTTTGTCTTTTTTATGTAAACATTATATGTATGTATATATAAATGTATGTAATGTGCTACCTTTTCTGAATCTTCCCCAGACTGAACTCAGAGCCACACCTCTGCAGAACCTCTTGAGTAGCATTTTAATTAAGGGCGCGCCTCAGATGCAGCCATGAAACATTTTCAGAGTAGCAGTGGCTGGGCCTCATCCTAAACCTACTGAAACAGTCGTTGAAGAAGCAACTTCTCAGGCCATTCCTCTGTTTAGAAAAGCAAAGCAAAACAAAACACTCCCAATGATTTTGATAACTTCTCTAAGAACAATTCTCCCAGAATGAATGATTTTCATTCCTTAGCTACACATCAGGATTAGCTAGGGGAATTTTTATTAAATTCTATGACTTACGCCCAGCTCCAGTGATTCGGATGTAATTATTCCAAGGTAGGGCCCTGGCATCATTATTTTTAAAAGCTCCCAGGTGATTCTAACGTGTATCCCAGGTTAAGAAAAACTGACCTAGGACTCTGTGAACCATAGTTTAAAAATGTTAAAGGATCAGAAGGACCAGATCAGCACAATATGATACCAGAGGGGAATTGAGAGTCCGCATTCCTGACTCGTGACCTATATATATATATATATTTTTTTTTGAGGATTATTTTTTGGAGAGGGTATCTGGAAAGGATGGGTTGAGTATAATAAATAATTGATTAGAAGTTTGAGATTGTAACCCTGGCAATGATCTGTCATATATAACATGTTCAAGAGAGTATTTCACAGTATTTATAATTTTTTTTTACCTCAAGTTTTTATACTTTCTGTATTTTCAGAGAGAGAACACGTACTTGTTTAAAAATCCAGAAAAGACAGGAGCGGAAGCCTATCCCATTGTTCTAGTCAATGTTAGGCCCGAGCGTGGAACCACTGATTTCTTACCCTTTTGTAGAGAAAGAACATGGAGATGACTACTCAGCTGAGGAATTGAAGCCTTTTTTTTTTGTTGTTGTTGTTGTTGTTGTTTTTACCATGAGACATAGAAGCAATTCTTAATTTCCCCAACACAGAAACGTTTATAGCACATCGTTATTGTGGTTGTTTATACGGCAGGTGTACCTGTCTATATCAGGAGTCAGCAAACTCTATCTATAAAGGGCCAGATAGTAAATATTTTAGGCTTTGCACGCCTACTCAACTCTTGCTGTTATGAATAATATGTACACAAATGGACTTGACTGTCTTCTAATAAAACTTTATTTACAAAGGCGGTGGGTTGTATTTGGCCCAGAAGCTATGGTTGGCTGACCCCTGCTCAGTATCAGAAAAAATGTACAGATAACAGATATTGTAGTTTTGCAACCTGTCTGAACCTTGTTTTAAGATTTCTATATTTTTACACATAGTCAAGGAGATGAAAATGTGAAGTCTTTTCTTTCACCAGTGGCCAATAAGTATTTTGTTTCATTATATCTGGTACTTTTATATTGTAAAATAGAAGAAAGCTGCCTGCATGCATAGTATTACTCAAGGAGAATAAAATGTGAGGCTGTGCATTATTACTCCATTCAAAAGAGCATGGAATAGTATTATTTTAGATATTTTATTTACCTATTCTTTATGTCCTTAAATTTAAACCTTATCGTGCATTAATTATGTATTTGGGCTCTTTAGGTCTCGGTGATTCAGAGTACACCTACTTTTGCAATGGGGGGAAAATAATTGATAAACGACTTCAAGAGCTTGGAGCCCGGCATTTCTATGACACTGGACATGCAGATGACTGTGTAGGGTAAGGGCAGTGTTCTCTGTTTATTCCAATAAGCCCTTTGTGCATGATGAAAGTTCATTTATAAAACGTGTTGGCTTTTCATTTAACACTGAACTTTTCCTCAGTTTTACTTTTGTTAGCTTTTTTAGCTTTGAGACCCAAGAGAGTCGGCCAGAGCTTGATTTACCTGTTTTGCTGATTTTCTTTTGTGTCTGTCTCATCCTCCTCAGTGTGTGCTAATGACAAGAGTTAGAAAAGGTACCCCAGTACAGTTATCTTTATTTTAAACAGTGTAGATATTTGCAGAAATCAGCTTGTTCTTTAGCAACTTGAATCGTGCATGCCATTGTCCTCGCCGTGCACACGGAGCCTTTGGATTGGGCTCTTTACATGGAGGGAGCCTGGTGAGCCACGCTTCGCCGTTAGAGAGCGTGGGTCTGTGGGCCTGCACTGTAGGCTGCATTGCTTGGCGTGCTCTTACCCTCTGAACGGCCATTTGCCACCATGCCAATCAAACGTGTACAGACACATACTTTATCTTTTCATTACTTTTATTCTTGTTTTTACAAGTCAGTATTTCACCCAGTGTGGCACCTTTCAAATCATCCTGATGTGTTTATTCAGTGGTCTTACAGATACTGTCCTATAACTTACTTAGCCTTTAAGTATTTTAGCCAGATAATAGCACACACCCTCGATTTTTTTCTACTAGGTCCATGTATTAATTTAATTTTCTCTCACTATGTTACTGAATAATCTGTTTATGAGAAAATGACAAATTCAGCAAATGTCTTGCTTTTCGGCATACTCTATTTCTGCCGAACTCACCCTCGTGCCCACTTCTTCCATCTTTCCCTTCAGCTGTGATGCTGTAGGTTTTTTCCACATCCCCAGTACACATATTGTTCCTGATAGTGACAAAGCTTTGTGACATTTCTTTGCGAATTCACTTTTAGCTCTGTACCTTTATGTTGAGTGTTTGTCTTTTGCCAGAAGTTCATTGACATTAAATGCTCAGTCTTGTATGGGCTGTGTTTAACTGTTAATGTAAAGTTTGTGTCATCCATTACCATTAGGCCCATCACTCATCTGTATTTCACTTCTCTTCAAAGGCTTTCATTTTCTCTGTTGATTTATTGGTGTCAGTATTAAAATGCTTGACTGTATATTTCAGTAGACTACACTGCTTAGATTTTTCAACCTAACTACCTTACTTCAATTTTTCCTTTTTCTGAAACAAAGATATTTTCAAGACATTCTTGCTTGATGTACATACCACCACACTAAATGGGGTTACGAATGCACGCTTGAGTCCAATACCTGGATTCAAATCCTTGATCCCCCACTTCCTGACTGAGAACTTGGTCAGATTACTTAAGCTTTTTGTTCCTTAGTTTTTGCCTGTATGCAATAAATAACAGTAATCTATTTACTATGTAAGCTTTATGGTAGGATCAAACGGATTAATACATGTTGTCCTCTTAGAAGAGTGCCTGTCATCATGTAGTAAACACTTAGTGAACGTTAGGTCTCTTCATGGTTACGCATATTATCACCTTAATATTTCTGAGTTATGAAAGTGATATTTTAAATGTAGCTGTTATTATTGAACCTGTAATTTTATAAACTTGTTTTCACAAAGGCTCCTCAGGGCAGATCTAATATATAACCACATTTTAAGCAGTGTACTACATGAGCACTTACCGAGCACAGTGAAATGACAGCCTGAGTCATGATGAGACACAGGCCTGAAATGTGCGTCCTCTTAATATTCATTTCGCTTTAGGAATTAGAATTTAATCGGACCTCCTTTTAGTTGTGATTGAAAGTGGTGTTATTTCCACAGCCCTGACACTGTCTTATCACTGACTCTACTTCTCTGTTCAGGGAATGGCTGTTGTTATCATCATTTGTTAATAGTAGGTGGACTGCCACATTTAAAACAATCTGTTTATGATGAATTCAACTTTCCCAAAGGATGGTTGCTTTTTTTTTTCTCCTGTTGTCAGCTTCCCTGGGAATTTTACTAAAATAAAAATAAATAAATAAATAAAATAGTTCAGGACTGAGAGAAAGGCTTTATTTAGTCCAAGGACTTGGCATTAATCTGTAGTGATTTCTTGTTGATATTTTAATCTGTAGGGAAAAGATCAGTAAATCGGCTAGGCAGAAAAAAAAAAAGTGCATTTGATTGATGGAATGAGCATTTGCAGCATTATGGTGGGCTTGGATTTTGGTTAAGTTCTGTTAGCATTAGTATGCCTATTTAAAATTATATCTTCTTAAGATAAAATTTACCAATTCTGGGACGTTAAGAGGAATTCTATTCCTGTCATCCTATTACTAGAATATCTTCCTGTCCCTCTTCATTTCTTTTACCTTTATACATGCTCATGTTTTCAGATGCAGTGCTAATGAACACATAATATATCCTGCTTTTTAAAACTTAATCATGAAGCATTTTTTGTACTCCGAATGGTCTTCATAGTGTTTCTAACAAGTGCATACTTTGCCAAATGGACAGACTGTCATTATCCTGTTCTGCGTTCAGATGGAGAACTTAGGCATTTGTTTTGTTTTTCCTTTGCTTTTACTGTCCAGTTTAGAACTTGTGGTTGAGCCATGGATTGCTGGACTCTGGCCGGCCCTCAGAGAGCATTTTAGGTCAAGCAGAGGACAAGAGGAGATAAGTGGCACAGCCCCGGTGGCGTCACCTGCGTCCTCGAGGACAGACCTTGTGAAGTCAGAGTTGCTACACATTGAATCACAAGTCGAGCTTCTGAGATTCGATGATTCAGGAAGAAAGGATTCTGAGGTTTTGAAGCAAAATGCAGTGAACAGCAACCAATCCAATGTTTTAATTGAAGACTTTGAGTCCTCACTTACCCGTTCGGTACCCCCACTCTCACAAGCCTCTCTGAATGTTCCTGCTTTACCCCCAGAATATTTGCAGGTACATCTGCAGGAGTCTCTTGGCCAGGTAAACAAGTTTTTCTTTATGCTGTGGATGCTTTTTAATCATCAATGTTTGCTTTGGGCTTTTAAATTATTACATTAGAAGAGAGGTCAACAAACTATGGCTCACTGGCCAAATGTGGCCCAGCACCTTTCTTTTGTAAATAGATTTCACTGGAACACAGCCATGCCTATTCATTTAGGTAGTGTCTGTGACAACTTCTGAGCTACAATGGCAGAGTTAATGGTGACCACAGGGGCCTGCAAAGCCTAAGGCATTTGGCCCCTTCCAGTAAAAGTTTTCCCACCCAGGTATTACAAAAGGTCTTGTATTATTATTTCTGTATTTGAAGAAGTAAATAGTTAAGAACTCAGTTTCGTCATTATTTTGGAGAACTAACAACTTGGTTTCTCATTTTAGATGAGTCAAACAGAGGTAAGTTGTATGGGCAGTTAGTTGAGTATCACGTTGCATGATAGCTAATTTCTCGCCATAGTCAGTGTATGGTACCCTGAAGTTTTTTCTAACCTGCTTAAAATAAGTTTCCAGAGCTAAGTCCTCTTTCTGTTGAGTGGCTGTTTGGAGTTCCACATGGACTTTTCTTACAAAAACCACAGCCTTACTGCAGTTATTGCCAGTTTTAGTGTCTTGTTCTCGTTTTTTAATGAAGACAGATGTAGACATTTAAGAAATAATTTGGATGCAGCATCCGTCTTGTATATTAGCACTATTTGTAGACACCTCGTATGATAGCAATTTTTTTTAGCATCTTTTATAGTGTCTTTCTAAAACTTTCATACAAGTATGATTTTGTGTATAAACAACTGTGGGCTATTTTTGCACTTGTACTTCATTATTTTGTGAATTGTTTAGTGAGATAATTGCAATAAGTGTATCTCAGTCTGGTTTGGGAACAGACAACGTATGCCTGGACTGGTGGGAGCAGAGTACAGTGATGCACCAGAGACAGAATCAGTTCATGCCAGCGGGCATAGCGAGTACTCATTCATCTGACTAGGAGTTTTAAGTTAGGAGGAAGATCTGTTAAGAGTTTGTGGGTTTTTTCCAGGAGGCGGAGATTGCAGTGAGCCGAGATCGCACTACCGCACTCTAGCCTGGGCGACGGAGTGAGACTCTCTCTCAAAAAAAAAAAAAACGGTTTCTAGGTTTTTTCTTAATAGAAAGTGTCATTAAATAGACTTGAGTTGTAAATAATGTAGTTAAAAGATTTAACAAATCTGAAGTATTGAAGGGAGACAATATAAATATGAAATAACATACTGAGAGAGTAAAGACTTGGGGAAAAAAAGAATGTTTTGTAGGCATCCTCTTGGGACCATCGCCTTGAGGCACAGAGGGGTTGGAAGCAGGATTTGGCACAGTGAGAAGCTGAGCTGCGATGCAGTCTCAACAGAGGCCTCAGTCAGCCCCGTATGGTACCTTTCTCCCATGCGGAAGTATCACCTCTTATCACCAGAGGCCTCCGTCAGCCCCGTGTGGTACCTTTCTCCCATGCAGAAGTATTACCTCTTATCACCAGAGGCCTCAGTCAGCCCCATATGGTACCTTTCTCCCATGCAGAAGTATTACCTCTTATCACCAGAGGGTCTTCTGGGTTGTGTGGTAGAGCGGCAGGACCTGTTAACAAGCACCGTCACTTGCACCTGCTGTAGAGCCCTCTCCTGCTCTGGGCCCCACGCAAAGCTGGTGACCTTTTCTGTCACCTGGTATTTGGGTCTCAGCAGTCCTCTCAGGTATGGGATGTGCTATCCACAGATCCTAAAGACGCTTAGCAGTGATTCTGCTTCTCTGTAGGAGAAGTGAGGTACAAGGTGCACTAGTGTGGCCTTTACTTGGGAGGGGATGTCCTGACGTGCACCAAACTGTTAGAACCCTAAAAATTGTGCTGACACTGCAAGCCCTTAAATTGCATAGGGCATGGGTCTTACCAAGGACTCCAGTATTCTGACCACTTCTCGTTGCTCATTCAATCTGATAGCACAATGCCCCTGATAGAGTAAGCTGGTTAGTGTGGTGCTTTGCAGGTGTTCCACATGTATTCAGACTCATAACAGCAGGCAGACTTATGAGAACCCTGGGGCATAATTGTAAATGTATACATTGTTCCAACTCAAAGTGAACTGTTTCTGATCCTCTTTAGTGATAGGGTTGGGAAGGAGCACTTTGATGAAATCATTGTCCCTGTACCTGAGGCCATGCTAGTCTACTCTGTCAAGGAAAACCAGCTTGCAGAGAGGCTACAGCGGACCTGTTACTTGTTTGAGTTTCCAGTAGTTCAGTGTCATCTCCCAGGATTTGTGTGGTTTTTGCAGTGGTCAAACTGGTGAATTAAATGGAGATATGAGAGACCATCCCCTGTGTCCATCAGCTTTTTAAGGATGTCATTTCTCTCAGGATGCTATTTTGTTTCTCTTGTTCTATCTCGGTGTTTAGGGAGGAGGATGGCGTCAAATTCAGAGACTTCTTCTTGGCCTTCCCCATGATGATAGATCTTATGTCTGAGGCCAAGAATTCGGTGTTTCCCTGTGCCAGCTGCTGAGTGGCCACTGGGGGTCCTGGGCCAGGACTCCATTTACCGCCTGCCCCCCATGTGCCTTGCTGTCACAGACGAGCTGTGCTGATGCTTTGGGTCCCTGGGTAACAACATTCATTTGAACCTCCTCTTCACAGACCCTGGAATGCCTGCACATTCCCCTTAGCCCAGTGTACATTTTCCCTTTGGGAGAAGGACTGCAGAAGCCATTGCCAAGTACAGTTTCTCTAGTGTCGCACAGTCCCTCCTCCTAGGGACCTGTTCTCTCCTACAGTCAGTGGGTTGCTGGTCTGGAAACAGGGCAAAGGGTCGTTTTTATTGGAGCAGCTGCCTACAGCTCCCTTTACATGTCTCCTTGATTTTTTTTCATTGTAAGGATTGATCCAGTGCCTTTTTGAGCTGCTCATTTTTTGCATCTGTGTTCTGCCCTCCTCAATTTAGGACCTCAGCTGTCTTGTCGTGTGCGTACTCTCCTGGCTCCTGTGGGGGCATAGTGCTCTGTCCTATACTTTCTTAGGGATTAGGCCCTTACCTTCCTTAACTGGCCCAGTGCTTTAGTGGCTGAGTGTGTCGCAACAACCCCAGTTATTGGTCTAGCAACCAGGAGAGGGGATGGGGTGTGGTAGTGGGGGCACAGGCATATGCTGTGGGCACAGGTCCCTACACCATCCAGATGTGAGAAGGGAGTTCTTACTCTTCATGGGAAGGACTGGCCGCATCTGCAGGCTCAAAGAGTTCAAGGGAATCTGGGTAGTAAGATTTTTCAGGGAATCTGGGTAGTCAAGATCTTTAAGGGATTCTTTGTAGTCAAGATTTTTAAGGGCTTCTGGGTAGTCAAGATTTTAAAGGGAATCTGGGTATTCAAGAATGTTTTTCCCAGTTAGTCCTTGGCTTTCTCTGCCTTTGCTGTCATGAGCTGTATGAGATGACTGTGTCTTTCTAAGCTCCTGTGGATGTCCCCTGGCTTTTATACTTACTTCTTAATTGTTGATTCATCATTTAAGCTTTTTGCATTTTTTTCAAGTATGAGTGAAGTTTAGCAGTAGCCCCCCCAAGTCCCACCAGTCTTCTCTTCTACTATTTCTCCATAGTTCTCAAGCACCTGATGGATCTTGCAAGATAATGCATTTGCTTCCACTGGCTCTCCCTGCTACTTAACGGTTGCATTGTTGCTGTGTACTGGTACCATCTGTCTGCTCTCTCACTAGTGTGGTGGTCTCATTGTCAACCAGGTAGATGATCCAGCTCCAGACTCCATTTTAGCATCTTTCCTAGGCTTCCCTGGCACTGTCACAGGCTGGTTCCAGGAGTCAAACAATGAGATGTTTTTAGGGCATCCTCTTGACAGCATCATCTTTGGGCATGGAGGGATGGAAGCAGGATTGGGCACAGAAAGAAGCTGAGCTGCTGTGCAGTCTCAGCAAAGGCCTCAGCCAATCCCACAGGGTTCTCTGGAGCTGGTGGGTCTTCAGAGTTGTCCTGCGTTGGAACAAAGAGGCTGGACCTTTGTAGTCATTGATTAGACATTGGATGTGGGCTGCCTCTGAAAGGAGGTGTGGGCAGGGGCAAGGTGTGACGTGAGAATGCTGAAGTGGTTCTTGCAGGTGGCAGAGATTGTCATTATCAGCACTGCCATAGCCTTTGCAGAAGGCAGTCTTCTTAGGGGTACATCTCAGTACCCCCACACCCCAGACACCCAGAACTGACCTTCATCCCAGCTTTCCCATATAGCCACTTATCCATGATTAATTGACTAGTACTGTTAAAATATTTTGTTTTTAAACTTAGGAATATAGAAAAGGAGTAGGGAGTATTATAAAGAATTGGGATTTTTTGCAGTTTTCCAAGACCTACTATGTCTGGTACAAGAGCTGCTAGCCACATATAGCTACTTAAATTTAAATTAATGAACATTTGTTAAAATTAATTCTCTTTCTTAGTGACACTAGCCATATTTCACAAGCCATATTTCAGCAGCCGTATGAACAGCATTACCCCACACTAGGGGGTTCCTGTGACCATCTACACACACACATATACACACACGTTGTATTCTTAAACTCTTTCACATCGTTTAAGATCTCCTCTCCTTCCTGAAACATTTGCATACATACTGTTTCCCTGTACATAGTTTATTAGGAAAACTACTAGATCTTTATGTGAAAATGCCAGTATTTTGTATTTTCTAAGTGTATTTCAGAAATTCTAATGTCTAATAGATAAAGAGTTTGAAATAGAATCGAGCTTCTCTTCTGAAAAGCTAGCTCCATATGTCTGCACTCATTTACCTTGGAAATGAATACTAAGTAGCCAGGAGATTTTGTAAGTCCCTATGGATCTTGCATAGTCACTAAGCGAAAGAAGGGTATAATTGAAAATTGCACTTACATTTTGTCCCATTTGTTTCTAAAGGAGGAAAGCCAAGCATCTGTGACTTCAGCAGATCCAATTTTTCAAGTTCCAATTTCAAAGGCAGTTCAACTTACTACGAACGATGCCATAAAAACCACTCTGCTGGTAGAATTGGACATTTCAGTAAGTTGCAAAATTTATTTCTCAGCACAGTAATATTGTCAAGATGTGCAGAAAGACGTGTGGTGCTTGGTTACGTACGCTGAGCCGCGTGGTGCTTGGTTACGTACGCTGAGCCGCGTGGTGCTTGGTTACCTACGCTGAGCCTCGTGGTGCTTGGTTACCTACGCTGAACCGCGTGGTGCTTGGTTACCTACGCTGAGCCGCGTGGTGCTTGGTTACCTACGCTGAGCCGCGTGGTGCTTGGTTACGTACCCTGAGCCGCGTGGTGCTTGGTTACCTACGCTGAGCCTCGTGGTGCTTGGTTACCTACGCTGAGCCGCGTGGTGCTTGGTTACCTACGCTGAGCCTCGTGGTGCTTGGTTACCTACGCTGAGCCGCGTGGTGCTTGGTTGCGTACGCTGAGCCGCGTGGTGCTTGGTTGCGTACGCTGAGCCGCGTGGTGCTTGGTTGCGTACGCTGACCGCGTGGTGCTTGGTTACGTGCGCTGAGCTGCGTGGTGCTTGGTTATATAACAAGAGGTCTACCGAAAAATGATTACACTTGTCCCTTAGTATCTTTGAAGGATTTGTTCCAGGACCCCTTTCAGATATCCAGATCCTCAAAGCTCAAACCCCTTATATAAAATGTTGTAGTATTTATATGTAATCTGTGCACATCCTCCCCTATACTTTAAGTCATCTGTCGATTACTTACAGTAACCACAATGTAAGTAGTTGCTATACTGTGTTTTTAAGTTTACATTATTTTTACTGTTATTTTTTATTGTTTTTTTCCTCCCAAATATTTTCCATCCAGGGTTGGTTGATTCTGAGGATGGAGAACCTGAGGATATGGAGGGCCCACTGTATATAGAAACATTTACATACAGTTTTAGTCTGAGATGTGCCTCTATGCACCCCGTCCATGGGCCCCCTGCCCACCCTCCACACCCTGCTGGAATCCATTGACCTTAGGTTAAGAAATTGATCGACAATCCCAAAATAAGTGCTTGAGTACCTCTTCAAAGTCATTTAGCTCAACTCTTTATTTTGTGAAAGTCTTGAGAGGTTAAGTGGGTTCTTTCAGAAAAGCAAGGGCACATTAAGGCCATCTGTGTAGATTTAATTGAACTTCCTAACAGAAAAAAAGAAATATAATGTGTCAAAACTAAATGGTTTTGCATCTATAAATATTAGTACTATGTACACCAAAATATTTTTTGTTCTGGTATTTTACATTTTTGTCATAAAGAGGCAAGGGTTGGTCTGTGCTTAATCCAGTCTGTCGCCCTTGCTGGCAAGAAATGTGCGCGTGTGTCATTGTGAGAGGCTCCTTCTCAGAGCTGTAGCCTGCATCTGTATCACTCTAGGGCTTAGAGGCAATGGGCCTAGTAATAGACTTGACTTGGGAAGTGGTGGCTTTTTCAGCCCATGTTTGCTCACAGCCAGTATCAAGCCAGATGGTGTAATGTTTTAAACTTAAGGAAATAAAGTACCCTTTCCTGTCCCCTAAAGGAAAAGAGTGAAGTAAGGAGAAGAAAATTGAAAACCAATGCTTTTGATCATAATTAATTTCTTTTGGTCATAATGTATGTTTTCGTGTGTGTGTACATCTGTGTTTTTGTAAGAGGGATTTTTATATTGACATGGGTTATTGAAAACACCATAGGACCTTACTTTGTAGAGAACAAGGAAGGTCTGACTTCCATTCTTTAAGTATGCAATGATAAAAGGCAAAACACTGGATAACTGCCAGATTTCTTTTTAATAGTAACTGCTAATAATGAAAATATGTTTATTTGGTTAGTTGGGCTTACTTTTTAAAATTGTGTTGTTTTTTTTTTTGAAATTCTATTTTCTTTCTGAGTTCATATATTAAAATCATGATATTGAAAACTACATTTTTGTTCCCCTATAGCTTAAACTATGTAACACATATAATGGATTTTTTTTTTTTTTTTTTTTTTTCATTTTGGCTCTTCCCTAGAAAACAGACTTTTCCTATCAGCCTGGAGATGCCTTCAGCGTAATCTGTCCTAACAGTGATTCTGAGGTACAAAGCCTACTCCAAAGATTGCAGCTTGAAGATAAGAGAGAGCACTACGTCTTTTTGAAAATAAAGACAGACACAAAGAAGAAAGGTACAGCCCTGCTGCTGTGACGTTAGGGTGTTGTGGGCCAGTGACTGGAGCTGATGGTGAGAGTGTGGCTCTAAAGTTCAGTGTCCTGTGTGGTGGCCGCACAGATGCCTGGGGCTCAGCTGTGCATCAGGGTCCGGGAACACAGGCATACACTGGTATTGCTAGTTTCTTAACTTTCATGTTAATTACACTGAATAAGAAGATAATGGATGTTCTGATTATTGGACATTTGTGGACATGAAAAATGAGTGTAAATGTAGTTTTTGAGAAGCATTGGCCTAGGTTTTTTTTTTTTTTTTTTTTTTTTGAGACGGAGTCTTGCTCTGTGCCCCAGGCTGGAGTGCGGTGGCGCGATCTCGGCTCACTGCAAGCTCCGCCCCCCCGGGTTCACGCCATTCTCCTGCCTCAGCCTCCTGAGTAGCTGGGACTACAGGCGCCCGCCACCTCGCCCGGCTAATTTTCTTGTATTTTTAGTAGAGACGGGGTTTCACCGTGTTAGCCAGGATGGTCTCGATCTCCTGACCTCGTGATCCGCCCGTCTCGGCCTCCCAAAGTGCTGGGATTACAGGCTTGAGCCACCGCGCCCGGCCATGGCCTAGGTTTTTAAAAAAAAAATTTTTCCTATTATGTTTACTTCTCATAGTATGTTTGTTTTTGCTCTATTATATAAAATAATTGCTTTATCCATAATTAAGTTATTTATTTTTCAAAGTATAAATATTTACTTAGAATCTTGAATTAGTCCTAAATTGATTTTTTGAGAGTAATAATGCTAATGGAGTACTGCTATCTTTTTAGCTTTTTGTTTCTTAATTTTAAATAATTTTCCTTTCTCTTATATGGCCTATCTTGAATTTGTAGTCTTTTATTTTTATTTTTTTGTAAGGTGGAGTTTTTTTCACTGTATTCATTTTGGGGAATTTTTTTGACTGAATAAACATTGCCACAAGTCGTATTGCACTTTGATGTGCTGTGAAGTACTACAGTACTTGTGTTTTGGGGAATGTGCAGAACATTTTATTCTTTATCTTCTATGTTGTGAACCCCTTTCTCGTCTTCACCTGGGAAGGAGCTGCCTTACCCCAGCATATACCTGCGAGGTGTTCTCTCCAGTTCATTTTTACCTGGTGTCTTGAAATCCGAGCAATTCCTAAAAAGGTATTTTTTTCTCTCTTCTTCAGGTGACTATTTTAAAATATGCTTAGCTTTGTTTAGGATTGATTAAACAAATCTAGAATCTGCCCTTTGCAGTCTTAAAAATTATGATCTTGATAGCTTGTTTTTAATATTAGTTCTCACAGGTGTGTGCTATCATCATAACTATCATATACAAATCTTTTGATGTTGTATTTGCATTTTAATTTTTGTTTGAAATGAAGTTTAAATAGGGCTTTTTCTTAGTCTTATTTTTACTAGTCATTAACTGTGTAGCACATTCCACAGTGATGGAGGTGACTGCAGTTGACCTTGTGTTACCCAGCTACACGTTGCTGCTGCTGCTGTAATTGGTGACAGAAAGCTAATGCGAGCTTAGGATTCCCCACCACCACCACTTGCAACTTGCTACAGTTGTTAAGATCTCCTTTGTGTAATACTATGTAACTATTTATTGCTGTAACAGAATGCTTCAGGAAAATTGGAAGGGTTTTGGTAGGTAATAATCAGTTTTTAGATGAACTTGGGGGTAGAACAATCCACTAGATGTCAGTATTGTACCAGGAACTGTTTTTTTAAAACTACTTGTAACTGATTTCTTCTCACCAGTTCCCTGAAGTGGCCATTAATGGCTAAAATTTTTCACATGTCCCTTGCCACACTTGTATCATCAGTGAGCATAGAGAGTGTTGTAATTAGGCCACCATCTCCCCAGTGTGGTTTTCGTGTCACTTTATTAATGTGTTTATCGCATTTCTAGTCTTGGATGAGTAAACTACTTTAGAGAGAGGCTCTGCTGTCTCTAAATACGTGTGTGTGTGTGTATATATTTTTTTTTTTCCATCTTCCTTTCCTGGTAATCAGCTCGAGATATAATTTGAGTAAATTTAGAATGAATTTACTGTGATGAAAGCTTACCGATTAAGTCACAATTTTGGTTCAGCTCTACTGCTTTTAAAATATGTGTAAAGTGTGTGTGTATGTGTGTGTGTGTGTATATGTGTGTATATATATTGGTGTGTATATATATGTATACCTGTTTTTTTTTTTTTCCTCAAAAATAGTATGCTTATTGGAAAAATTCTGGATACAGAAATAACCTAGGAAACCAAAGTATTTTATAATCAAACCCTCAGAGTTAACACTTGAATTTTGCTTTCCTGAGGAAAATATGGGGATCCATATTGTATGTGCTGTTCTATAACTTGCCTTTTTAACTTAAATCGAGAATCTGTATATTTCAGGAAGGAAAGAGTTTTAATGGATACTGTGGATACACCATTATTTGTTGATATAATTATGGGCAGTTGAGTCATTTTCGCTTTTTCACTACTAAAAAAGAAAGGCAAACTTTCTTGTATTAATTTTTGGACACTTACTTGAAGTATATTTGTAAAACAAATTCCTTGGAGTAGAATTACTGTTTTAAAAATATTTACATTTTAAATTGTAACAATGTTTGTCAGCTTGCTCTCCAAAAACAGTGCAGTATTTCCTGTTTTAGTACCATAAAGTTTTCGTAGTTCTAAAGTGAAAAAAGTATGTGAAAGGATTTAAAATTGTGACTGTTTGAGCTTTTAATTTAGAAGATTGTATTGGCTTTAGAATTTACAAACTGTTATTGGTAGATTTTTTTTATTATCTTCCAAAAAGTCTAAGCAGAGATTTGGGGCGTCCATTCAGCAGCGTTTCCTGAGTCCTTGTTTTTGTTCAACACTGAGTTTGGCATTTGGTGTAATTTGTTAGTGTCTTGATATTTTAGACAGAGATTCTTCAGCTAAACCTTTGGAAACCTGTGACTCCTTTGGGAACAGTGATTTTGTCCTCCCTGTTAAGGAAGTCCAGGACATAATCGTCTTGAGCCATGGAATTTAAAGTAGCAGTACCCATTAGCATTTCACATAACATTTGATGCGAATAATGACACTGAAGTGCTTTGTTCCTAAAGAGCCCTTGAGAAATAAGCTATGTATGCATGTAATTAATAGCTTGTAATTGCATTGAAATAAAAAATTCTTATTAGCAAGTTTGATGTTTTGTTCGGGAGTTTAGACTTTGAAAATTGGGATTCAGAATTTTATTATTTTTATTTATTTATTTACATTGTGAAATTTTTCTAACAGGTCAACATTAAAGCAAATGGTAAATTAAGTTCCCTCCTCCTGACAATAGCTCCTAGTGGCTTTCTCATTTTTTTCTTGGGTAATTGGGCGCATCCCCAGGAAGACACTGAACTGAGTATTCTAATAGCTCTACCCACAAATTGTGTCATAATTTAAGACGGGCTCCTTTTTGTAGGCATTTTTGCGAGCCCTTGTGGACTATACCAGTGACAGTGCTGAAAAGCGCAGGCTACAGGAGCTGTGCAGCAAACAAGGGGCAGCCGATTATAGCCGCTTTGTACGAGATGCCTGCGCCTGCTTGTTGGATCTCCTCCTCGCTTTCCCTTCTTGCCAGCCACCGCTCAGTCTCCTGCTTGGTGAGTAGTCACTTTCACAAGCACCGTGGTGGCTGTTCGTGCACGGACAGGCGGGCTACCTTTCTGTAGTAAAGAAAATTTGCTGCTCTTGTCTTACCCTTTGTATTCTATGCATAAAGAATACATCTAAATGAATGGTGGTGATTGGTAAGTAAACATCTTGTATCTTGTTCTCAGGGTGCTGTGACATCTGTGTGCCCTTCCAGAAGTCACACAATTCCCCTTCCAAACCTTTGGTTTTTCTTTTTTTTCCTTCCAGCAGTGTCACTATCATTTTCTCTCTTAGTAGAGTCACTTGTTATTCTCTTTTTTTGCCTCAGAATTGAGCATCTTTTCTAATTTAACTTTTTTCAGAAAGGTTGTTTAGCTAAATGTCTAAAAATGAGCTTTCTATTAAAAAGTTACCTTTTTCAAAGCTAATGAACATCATACTGAATTGATAGAGGATGATGCAGTCTGTGCTGTGTGCAGAATGCAGAAATGCCCCCATCTGAGCCAGTCCAGATCGAGGGTCCTTCAAGAGCAAAAGGGGCCTATGTCGTACCAGTGCAAGTCGACATATTCATGGTACTGCCAGGCAGAGAACCATCCCGTTTCAGATGAAAGGTAACCCATTGTTTTGCCCAGAGTGACTCTTCTAGTCCTCATACTCCAACAGAAGAGACCTAAGCGTTTTCCCTGAGCAGTCGATGTCCAGGGGGCCTCTCTGTGGCTCTCAGGAAGGGATTGAAAATGCTTACTGGGGTGAAGACTGGGTGCTTTATAGGACTTCAAAGCCTTTATTACTTTCCTGTGCTTACAATTTTGTCATCTCCTTTCCCGTAGTGGTAAGTTGTCATGCCTTTAACATTTGCATTTTTCTTTGGTGACACCAAAATGTGTATTGTCCTTTTTACTCTTAGGCCAGCAAGATCCTTTTCCATGCCCAGTACAATTAAAGGCACCCTCCTCTGCAAGTCAGGGCCTGATTTCTCCTCCTTTTTCTTAGTGTTCTTTCCACTTAGGACCTCCCCAAAATGGTAAGACCATGTTGCTGAATGAGGCCGCTCTTCTCGCCATCCTGTCCTAGGCTGGCCCTCTCACCCTCTCCAGTGAAGTCTTTGGAACCACAGCAGGATTAGGATGACAGAACACAGGGTGGGGAGTTCTAAGTAGTAGTGGAAAGTTCTCTTGTCATATACTATTTTATTTCAATTCTTTTCATAGATTTTTTGTTACCTTTTAGAATGTTTGTAACAATACCACATATTACATAGTTATATAAAAAAATTAAAGTCATTGGGACTTATAAAAAATTATATTATTTTCTAATTTCCTTAAGAAAAATTAAAATATCTAAAGCTTAATATTAAGTCGAACACCCTACTAAACCTTATTTTGATGTTTAAAACTCTAAGCCATTATACATAGACCTTTTCAGATTTTCAGTTAAGTAACTGCTAAAAATAAAACATACCAAAACATAAAACATTTCGAAGTTTATTAGTGGATAGTTCAATATTTAAATACAGATTATTTAACCTGCTTTTGAAAGAATACCTGTGTATTTTGAAATCACTGAATTTTTTTTATGATGTTTTAAAAACCAAACACTTTAATTACTTTAAATGTAAGATGGAAAATCTTCAAGCCTAAGTATTTTCAGTAATTCTTGAAAGAGTAGCCTTTAATCTTTTGGGATCATGACTTTATTTTAAATCTGAAAACTGGACACCTCCCTGCAGAAAACTGCACATACCTAGTAAGAGTTTGCTGACTCCTCGCCTCTGAAGCCACCTCATGGACCCATTCCTAGGAGCCTTTGCTTTCAAAATTTAGCATTTGGATAGAAATACTGACAAGAGTAAGGAAATGCGTCTTATCTCGTTTTTAACTTTACGAATTGAAAAAAATAGTAATATTTTACTTGAACACAAAGAATTTATACATGCTCTTAACTATGATTTAAAACTAGAACATGATTTATTTTGAGTATTCTAAATAAGATGTGGATTTTTTATTTTTTAGGTAAGGTTATTTTCAGTAGTAGTGAATTAATAATTGCTTGTTTTTATTTTTTTCTAGAACATCTTCCTAAACTCCAACCCAGACCATATTCGTGTGCAAGGTACTAATATTCATTCACATAATATATAGCATCATTGTCCAAAATCTTTTGGCACTCAGACTTCCAAATCCTTAGAGTTTACTAATTTATTCAGTGAAAACTTAGCTGATTTATGGAAGACAGTACCAGGCATAATAAAGCAGAAGAATCACAGAGCTCCTGTCCTCTGGGACTTCATAGAATTTAACGTCTTGGGTGGCTCCTGACGGCCCAGCACTGTTTGCCCACTTAGGAGTCTGAGGCTCCTCCACATGCTTCCTCTGTTGGTGTGCCCAGCCCCCGTCACTGAATGGCAGCAGAAGGTAGGGGAGACAGAAAAGTTCCACTATAAAACATTTGATGAGGCTGGGTATGGTGGCTCATGCCTGTAATCCCAGCACTTCGGGAGGCTGAGGCTGGCAGATCACAAGGTCAGGAGATGAAGACTATCCTGGCTAACACTGTGAAACCCCGTCTGTACTAAAAATACAAAAACAAAATTAGCCGGGCGTGTTGGCGGGCGCCAGCTACTTGGGAGGCTGAGGTGGGAGAGTAGCGTGAACCCGGGAGGTGGAGATTGCAGTGAGCCGAGATCGCGCCACTGCACTTGAGCCTGGGCAACAGAGTGAGACCCTGTCTCAAAAAACAAAAACAAAAAAACATTTGATGAGCACTGACTTGTAGCATTCTCCCTCTGGCCTTCGTTCCATTGCATAGCCTCTGCCGTCTTCCCGTCTGGCTCTCTGTTTTGCCTTTCATTAATAATAATACAAGAAAGTGCGCCGTTCTTTTGGTTGAAAAAGGAATTAAGAATGAACTCAAGTTCTTTCGCATTATATACCCTGTAATGTGAAAAGAAATCTGTTTTTGTAGGGATGTCTTTTAAAGATGTTTTTACTTTGAATTTTTAGTTTTCTCTTTTCTGGGTGTATACTTCAGCCACTTGCAAGTTTTGTGATCTTACCGGTAGATAATATATGGATATTTGTTAGAATTTATCCCCATTTCTTCACATGGTAAAATGTCTTTATAATATTGACTGAATGAGTCTTTTACATAAAGATCCTTAGGGCATATTACTTTTTATAAATCTCATCTAGTCCTAGTGCAAGCAAATAAAATTGGAAACTTTCTTGAATAACACAAAATATAGGGTGTGAGAGTGTGAGGGTTGGGGGCAGTTTTTAATTATGTAATGATAGCTTTCCTCTATGAGGATTTGGAAGGTAGGTTAGAGCCTATAAGGAAATATTTCTAAACTGAGTGAAAAAAGGATTGGTTTGACCCATGTGTGTAGTCGTACTGATACCGAGTTCAAAACTTGTCTGTGTATCTTTGCAGCTCAAGTTTATTTCACCCAGGGAAGCTCCATTTTGTCTTCAACGTTGTGGAATTTCTGTCTACTGCCCCAACAGAGGTTCTGCGGAAGGGAGTGTGCACAGGCTGGCTGGCCTTGTTGGTTGCTTCCGTTCTTCAGCCAAACACACATGCATCCCATGAAGACAGCAGGAAAGCCGTGGCTCCTAAGGTAAGAAATTAGTACCTTCACCTCAACCTTGTTAACTCCTACTCTTTGATTAGAAAAAAACAATGTCTCACCCACATCATTCATTACTATCATAAGAACATTTATGCTGTTCTTGAATTTTAAAATCTCTATTGCAAGAGCAGAAGCTGTTTACTTCCATTTACTCTCCAACTAGTGTGTGTATTTTCTGAATATGTCAAGCATGAATTTTATATAGTACGGTCTTTGCTTGTCCTATTTATGGAAAAGAGGACCTTTTATGTTGATATTCTTCGTACATCGGCCTAGGGAGGGGTGGAGAAGAGTCTAGAAGTATTTAAGGGGGGTGATGAGAGACAGTCTCATTTTATGTTTAAGGTGTATACTGCCTCTCAAATAAGTAGTTTTACAATGGGAGTCTGAGGGCAACTAAGGATTAATTTTATATTGTCCAGTTTTGGCTAGTAGGATTCCCGCATCCCGGTTTCTCTCCTTTTGTTATCTGTGGTGTCTGACATCTGAATTTGTGCCATTATTGAGAATGGCACAAATTCAGGAAATACTTTTACCACACCTAGGAGTAAAAGGTTATGTGATTTTCTCAACAGATTGTGGACACTTTACACCTGGACTTAGTGACACCTGTTTTTATGTTTTGATATGGCACTCAGCAGAATTTCGAGACCATGTGTGTAGGGAACAGTTTAAAGTTGTCCACAAGAATGGTTGAAATAAAGCAACATTTCAGACTTTATCATGAAGTCCTCTTTCTTCATGGTAATGAAGAAATCAGTGATTCACTTGGAATGTTGTCTTAGGACAAGTTTGGTTTCTTTAAGTTATTAGAGGAGAAATGTTCATAGACCTTAGGGGGAATTAGGACTTCCTGGGATATACTTGAGAGGATGAGGGATGATTGCTGCTTGAAGTTGCCCTTTAACTTGGTATTTTTCCAGTCTGCTGCCTGGAACAGAGAGGCGCTTTACTGTGTTCCCTATACATCGTATATTCATTATACATCAAAATACTAGAAACCTTATAGAAACTTTCTTTTTTGAGAAGAAATATTATAGTACTGATATACAAGTATATGTCACATGGTGATTGTATAAAGATAGCAGATGATCTCCAGAACGTTAAAAACAATGTGTGTCCATCACATATCATAAACACTAAGCATGGGTGCCTTTCACCTACTCCTCCTTTTCTCCCTCCCTGTCTTCCTCCTTCCTTCCCCATTTTAACAGATTTTTATTGACTGTCCAATCTATATGCAGTAGAAGTGCAGATGTGAAGGATATAATTTAAAACTATCTGAAATTCCCTGTGCTTGCGCCATGTTTTATTACAAATTATAGAGAATGTTGACCTTTGCAAGACCTGTCACATGCCCTGCCCTACTACGGCAGATAGTACAGTTGTTCACAGATTAACCCTGCCACTGGTGTTCAGCCTGGCTGTGTGAAGGACATCTGCCACATCTAAGCAGGAGCACTAAGCCTGTAGGTGTGGCATAGATTGTCTCTCTTCTTCCCAGCTGCCGTGATACTCTCTCCACATAGACCCCCAAGTGAAGCAGCACCACAGCCTTCGAGGAAGAGAGCCCCAAAACATAGAAAGTGTGCTGTTGTCACAGGACCTTTGCACATGTGTTGTCTTTTCTGCCAGGAATATGCTGTGGCATGGCTAACTAGCTTGATTCACATCGTGGCCAAAGGTCTCACTGTAGACATGGGCCTTCTTTGGCATTGGTGTTTGAATTACAAGCTCACTGCCACACCCATCATTTCCTTACCCTGTGTCATTTTGCTTCCTAAGACATTAGGAAGTCATTACCCATCATTCTGTGGATATACGTGGTAATGTGTATGTTTATTTTCTTTTCCTCTCACTAGAATGTCAGTTCCATAAAGACAGGGGTGTTGTTTTGTTCATTTCTGTATCCCTAATGCCTGTCATAGTGAATACTTTCAGTAAATCTGTTAAATGAATGAAGCGAATAAGGCAAATGTAATGTTAACTAGTTTCATTCCCAAGTAAGAGCAGTAATGAGACACAGCTCTGCCATTCCTTCATTTAAAAGGTATGGTGTTCAGGCTCTTCATTACTTCTACAGTTGTCCTTGAGTTAAAAGTTAAAATGTATACAATTACACCGCCAGGCAAGGTGGAGGGGAATCCTGTCATTCTTAAACCTCGGTACCACTCACTATGACTTTTGCATATGTCAGTGAAACTGGAAGTGAAACATACTCAGATTGATTCAGAAATATATTTTGAAATTTTAACCAAAAGATCTTGTTAGTTATATGATTTATTTAGTTATGACAAAAATAATTCTGGGTAGTATTGGACCCGGAATAGCAAATACAGCACCATTCTCTAGAATATTTGGAGCAGCCCCTTAATTTCTTTTTAAGGTGCCTGACTTTTATTTAAAATTTTTCAACCTCATCGTGATGCTAATCTTTATTGTCTTCATATTTAGGATACCTTTCTCCATAATATATACTGTTGTCTGCCCACCAGAAAGCAGATCTTATCCATGGACCAAGAAACATGATTTGATCATTGTCTATTTAGTGTTCCACCTCAAAGACACAATGCCTATCATTTTTTAAAACATTTTTTATTTCAATAGAAAAGAAAAATTTGCAAGACAAACTCTTTCTGTAGTGACAAATGTGCTGATGGTTTCAGTAAAATCTAATGCTGCTATTTAGTGATGTTTCTTTGATGGGAATTTTCCCTTTCTGATTTGTTTAGCAAAGATCGTGTTGGTTATATACTCTTTCGTAGGTTTTCTTTCATGCTTACCACATTTGGTTTAATATTTCAGATATCCATCTCTCCTCGAACAACAAATTATTTCCACTTACCAAATGACCCCTCAATCCCCATCATAATGGTGGGTCCAGGAACTGGCATAGCACCGTTTATTGGGTTCCTACAACATAGGTATGTTCTTTTTTTGGCTAATGGGAAAATGTATTCCTGAGGAACTGTTTTGGGTTCTTTAGTCGTTTTTAGGATAATTGGACTTTGATTGTAAAATTTTTATTTTAAAAATTATTATTCAATGTGTGATAACATAATTTGTCAGCATGGGAAAAGGACACACACAATGTAGTAGAGATTTTGCTTTGTACTAGAACTTCCTTTTTTAACTGTGGCACTTTTAGTATTTCCTTTCTCAGCTACAGTGTGGTTTATAGCATATGTGGTTGGGGACAAATATTGGGCCTACCTTCGTACTGTGATGATGTACAGCTATTGTATCTATCCCTTAATTGGATAAAATTGGTAGTAACAGATCCAATTATAGTAAAAGTTTCAACATTAAACTCAAACATCAGTAATTTTCAACAGAATATTAATAAGTGTAACTTTATATCAGAACAGAATTATTTGATATGAAATAAATAAAATCAAATTGTACTTCTGCTTATATTTGAGAACTAATGCGCAAGTCTTGGGTACTATTCCTCAGTAGAGTCCTGTCCTTTGGACAGTTATTTTACTTCGTTTTAAGTTTTTCCTTAAGGAAGCAAAAGCGTGATCACAGATGTCTGTGTCTCATCAGTGTGGTCATCATTTCATCGACACTTTACACATTCTACCTTTCACAGCCCTGTGCCACTTTTCCATAGTAAGAGTTCATTTATTCATAAAATTGCTATTAATATTATTGAATGTAGAACTCTCTCTGGATCTCACAGTGTGATACTTTGAATTGTCCTCATTTTGTGTACGTCGTATGTAGCCGCTTCTCCACACACTTGCCTAGCGTGGTGCCTGCTGGAGTGGCCATGACAGCCTGTGGAGAGTAAAACGCTAATTAAGTGACTGAATGTTCAACTGCAGAGGTGGATTTTACAAATCTGTCTGAGTTTGTTGGTGATAGTTCCTAATGAAAGAGATTGGTTTTACATATTCCTTATATCACACACCTAAACTTTTTTTTTTCCTACTTAGAGAGAAACTCCAAGAACAACACCCAGATGGAAATTTTGGAGCAGTGTGGTTGTTTTTTGGCTGCAGGCATAAGGATAGGGATTATCTATTCAGGTATTGTACAATCCCAGTATTGTACTCAACCGCTGAGTGTACAATTCTAATTCTCAGACTTTTTCAACTTGACAACCTTTCAGTGATCCATTATATATTATATTTCAGAAAAGAGCTCAGACATTTCCTTAAGCATGGAATCTTAACTCATCTAAAGGTTTCCTTCTCAAGAGATGCTCCTGTTGGGGAGGAGGAAGCCACAGCAAAGTATGTGCAAGACAACATCCAGCTTCATGGCCAGGAGGTGGTGAGAATCCTTCTCCACGAGAACGGCTGTATTTATGTGTGTGGGTGAGTCGTTATCGTGCCTAAGTCAGGTAGGAGAGGGCCATTGGTGATGTCTGTAGAAGAAACAAAGGACTAAGAAGGCAATAATCTAGATATGTAGGGATGAGACATTTGATTCTTAAGTACAGGAATAGAAATAACAGTTCTGAAATGATTTTGACATATTTACTAGCCCAGAAGTTGTTATTATCAGGTAAATAGTGGTGAAAGTTAATGCTTGCATTGTACATTCTTGGTACCATTTACATACCTGTTTTTCGCCTCTGAAAATTACACTCATGTTACAACATTAACCATGTGAATTGAAATCTCCAGATTGATTTTGTTGTATATAAGAATAGGTGATTTGTGCTGTTATGAACTGTTAATAACTAAGAAAGAAAAAGTATGATTTTGACCCTCAGAATGTGGATACTAGGATTCTTTCTCTTCTAGGCATAATTCGTGGTGATAAAGTTGACAAAAACCCAGAAACATTCTGTGTTACTAAATTTGATCAACTTTCTGAGGCAAAATCTGTTAGAGAAACCCATAATTGCGGAAGAAAAATTGTTTAACACTTATTTGCTTATTTTAATGAGACTCAAAAAATTTCTGCCAGTGAAAAAGAATTTTTGAAGTAAGAAATTCACTTTTTCATCCAAATACATTCCTGGGATTCAACACATTCTCTGAGTCAGGTTCTTTTGTTTTTTTCAACTGTAATGCAGAAGACAAAATACTGGCATCCTGACCCAGAACATATGTATAAATACAATTGAAACAAGTTTCATGAAACAAAACTTAACATTTTCTGTTTAGTTTTTATAACACATTCTGATCATTTCTCTTCCATTTTATTTTGTTTGCTTTAAAAGCTAGCTTTGGCTACTAAGTTGATTTCATGTCCTTTCAATAGATTTTGACTCCTAATTGAAAAACATTGCTTTAGGTCGATAAAGGGCAAAAATTCTAGACATTGTTTTGGTTTACATTTTCCTTAGCTTTTAATGAAGTATTTAGTCTGTATTTAGTCTGCATTTTGTTTGGCGAGGACAGTGCCATTGGTGGTCAAATACAGAGTTTTAGAGATGTACCTCTAAATAGTAGAGGCAGAGTTAATTGTACAGATCACAGATGACTGGTAATTGAGAACTTGGAGAGTATCTTAAATGTCCAGACTCTTTTAAAACATTATTCCAGAAATAACTCCTCCCAATCATTGGTGCTTTACTTTTCACATTGGTGAAATGCACTTGGAAGCATTAATAGCAGTGGTCAGAGGGCTCAGAAGGAAACTCTGGGTCACTTGAACATTGACGGCCTATCAGGGAAGCGGGAATGAAGTAGACAGAAGGAACAGCCACCAAAGAAGCAAAATTGTCCCAAAGCCAAGAGGATGCTGTCTCAGGGAGGGAGCCTGTACTGCTGATGTGTCAAGGGAGAAGACAGCGGAGCAGGCTCGTGGGGTATAAGTTCCTGGGAGAAGCGGATGGGAGAGCCTCTTGAGAAAGGTGAGACGGCCACCACAGACACCTCTCAAGAAATGTCACTGTGAGGGGCCAGGACATTTTCAGTTCCTAACATAGTGGAATCTTGTCTGACACTTTGCTTCATTCAGCAAACACCCAAGTGCTGGCTGAGTGCTTGGGCACATTCAGATGTCGATAGATACGAGGATGTATCGGTTTTTGTGTTGCTATAGAGGAATACCTGAGACGAAAGAAAAAAGATTTAATGGGCTCATGGTTTAGGCTGTATAGGAAACATGGTGCCAGCACCTGCTTCTGGTGAAGACCCCAGGAAGCTTCCACTCTGACAGAAGGCAAAGGGGGAGCAGGCACCTCACATGGCAAGAGAGGAAGCGAGAGGTAGGGAGAGGTGCCACACTCTCAGCCAGATCTCTCAGGAACGCAGAGGGAGAACTTACTCATTACAGCGAGCATAGCAACAAGCCGTTCATGAGGGATCCGCCCCCATGACCCAGACGCCTCCCGCCAAGCCCCACTTCTAACGCTGGGAAGCATGTTTTAATATAAAGATCTGGAGAGGGCACACATCCAGACTGATCAGAGGAAAAGTGAGTTACACTTCCTACTCTCAAACAACTTACTCCCTGGTGAGAAAGCTGCACATAAACAGACGTTTCTAACGTCGGAAGTGTTCCAGAGAGCACTGCAAGAGCACCCAGGAGGGGTACCTCCCCTGTCTTGCAAACTGAAGAGTTAAGAGGTAGAAGCACTTCAAAAGGACCTGGCACATACTAAGTCCTCGATAAAGGTGTCTGTTACTAATTGTATGTGCATAAAGACCTAGAAGTGTGCAAGAGATCTGGTTCCCTTCAGGAGTACGAGTCTACTGTGTGCTTTGAGAGTGGAAGGCAGGGAATGAGGGACGAGCCAGCAGGTGGGCCGGAACCAGGCGGGGCCTCAGATGCTTCTCTGACACCTAGGAAACTGTTGGCCTACTGTCGGGACCTGGAGCCTGTGGAGGACTGGGATCTGTAGAATCGTGTGGTCAGCTCTGCCTCCTACAGCAGTCACCGTAGATGAAGGCCTGGCCTGGGCATGAGTGAGGCTGGGAGGTCTGTGTGAGATGTTCCAAGAAGAGGGAGGGAAGAACTATGGTGGTACAGTCAAAGGGAATTAGACTTGTGAATTAAGGAGGATTTAGTAAAAATGCCTGCTTGTAAACAATCATCTTATTTTCTTTTTTAGAGATGCTAAGAATATGGCCAAGGATGTACATGATGCCCTTGTGGAAATAATAAGCAAAGAGATTGGAGTTGAAAAACTAGAAGCAATGAAAACCCTGGCCACTTTAAAAGAAGAAAAACGCTATCTTCAGGATATTTGGTCATAAAACCAGAAATTAAAGAGAATTAAGCTTTTTTGACTGAAAGTACTAGAAGACAGTTTTACTAGTGCCAGGACTTTAAATTTTCAAAAGAAAATTTTCTTTTAGCATTTCTTGGAGGAGATGGAGTGGGGATTGGATTATTTAACAATATAACAAAACTTCCTGATTTGATTTTACACGTCTTCCATCTATGCCCTTCCTGTGCCTGTGACTCTCCCCGAACTGCCCTGTTGCCTGTGGGCTCTCCTGAGCTGAGGCCGCCTTCAGTCCCATCAGTGCCTCCTTGACTTCCCGGAGAACTTCACAGAGACTCTGTCCTTCCATGCAAAGGCTTCCTGAAATAGGGAGACTGACTGAGTAGCTCATTCGTGTGAACTTACAGTGCCAACATTTAAAAAAATATGAAAATGATTTATTTTTGTATGATGTATACCCGTAAAGAATGCTCATATTAATGTACTTAAATTACACATGTAGAGCACATCTGTTATATGTTTATATAACTATCAAATGGTTATTTGTTACTAAAGCTATATTTCTGATAAAAAATATTTTAGGATAGTTGCCTACAAAGGGATTTATTTTCATGATGCTGGAAATATGAAATGTATTTTAAAATTTCACTCTGACATATGATTTATCTATCACCATTACTTTTTTTTAAGTCACAATTTCAGAATTTGGGAACATTTACATTCAATTTACAGGTACCAGAACGTACATAGTTTAGTAAAAAGATACAGCCTTTTTCTTCTCTTTTCAAACTTCTTTTATTTCTGCTGCTTGGCACAGTTTTGGGTTTTCCCACACTCTTTATCTTGATACCACTCGAGCTGTGTCCTGTACCTAAAATACTGACTTGAGGAGTATCCTTGTATTTTTAGATTCCCAGTGTCTAATTCTCTGTTATAATTTGCCCAAACAAAACAAAATAACAAAGGATTATGATAACTTTTTTCCACTGTTCTAGTATATATTGTATTTTTATTTGATAGCTTGGCATTTAAAAAATTTCTGTTGAAGGCTTTTGATCCTTTTGAGAAATAAAGATCTGAAAGAAATGGCATAATCTTAAAATGTAAATTTTTGTGGCTGTTTAATCTCTTCTCTTCATTATTATATATTTTATAATAGAAGCCAATCTAAAAATATGGGATAGGAACATATACTAAGCAAGTACTGTGTAACATGCATAATTATATGTGTAAGTTGTATGTATCAGCCAAGATATACTTAAGGTGAAAACATTAAAAGAGACAACAATATTCCTTATTAATAAGATACAACAATCAAGAACTTGTGTCTACCTACCAATAATATCTATAATTACATGACCCAAAACTTTTATCTATAAAAAGAAACTGACAAATAGTCAATCATAACTTGGTGTTGGAAACTGACCTAAGCCAATTTGTTTATACACAGCATCCAAGTTATGTCTAGAAACTGCTAGATTATCTATGTTTTAGGTGGGTATCGTTCAGCTGCTCCCTGCAGCCTTACCAGCTAGTGATAGTGAAAATACATTTCATTATAAATGCTGCTGTACATTCAGGTACATTTATCATTTTTTAAATGTATTATCTTAGTATCTGTGATTTATTAGTCATTGGGCACAAAACAGTTGTACTAACCTAGTTTCTAAGCTTAATGAAGTTCCAGCTGTCTCTTTAGGCACTCCACCACATCTTGCAGGAAGAGTTCACTCAAGGTGCGTGACAACGTGGATGTGACTACTCCAGGGGCAAAATTTTGTCCTTACTGTGAACCATCCTTTGACCTAGTGACCGGACATAGTATTTCAGAGGTAAGCCTCAGGCACCAGCCTAGGGCCTTGCTAGATAAAGTCTTCAACCTTGTTTATGTAGGGGTAGGGAGAAGTTAGCAGTGAGGGACCTTTTCTAACCTGTTATTCTAACAAGCCACTATTGCACTCATTATTTTTAATAGCCAGTCTTCATACGGCTCAGTGATAAAATTAACAGAAGAGCTTGTGGTAGGCAGTTCTGCAATGTGACTTTTCTGATTAGAACGCTTACTGCACCTAGACGGTTCCGTTCTGTGGTTCAGACTTACCGTGTTTGTGGGTTATTCTAAAGTGAGTTACACTGTTAAAACTGAAACAGTCGTTCTATTGAGTCATACACTACCAGATAAAAAATAAAAAGCATTTGGATTTCACAGCAAACTATATGATAATATATGCCACACCCAACAAACTGGGCACCCTTGTTGATTTCAAATACTCTTGAACCATTTTAAAACATTGACCATGAACTAAGCCATAAAGGAAAACTCAACAAATCCCATAAAGCCTTGTTCACTGACTAATGTAATAAAAAGAACTATGAAAAAACCCACCAAGGCCACAATGAAACATTTTAAACACGTGCAGATGATTCATAGCTTAAATTATTAAATGTACAGATGGAATTCAGGTGAAACAATACCCAGGGGGAGGATTCATTCATCTATTTCACAAAGTACTGTGTACCCAGTGACCAAAATAGTTAAAACACCTTTGTTTTCAGGGAGCTTTACATCACGTTGAGGAGAGACACAAAATAATCTGTGAATTGCATGGGGTCTGAGAAGGTGATAAGGGCTATGGAGGATGACAAGTCAGAGTAAACGGGATGTGTGGCCTGCAGTCTTGGAGGGTTGGGGTGACTTTATAGGGAGTCTCTGAAGGTAAAAACTTGAAAAAGACAAAGGAGCCAGCCATCATGAGTATCTTGTGGAGGAAAACGTCAGAATGAAGGCCCTGAGATAGAATGGTTGCAGGAAATGTGTCTTAATCCAGACCCCAAGAGTTCTTGAATCTCTTACAAGGAAGAAGTTGGGGCAAGTCCATAAATTATTAGAGAAGTAAAGAAACAAAAGAATGGCAACTCCATAGAGCAGCCCCGAGGGCTGCTGGTTGGCTATTTTTGCGGTTATTTCTTGATAATATGCTAGGGTGGATTATTCATGAGTTTTCCCAAGAAGAAGTGGGGATTTCCTTAGAGTTAAGGGTTCCTCCCAGTTTTAGACCTTATAGGGTAACTTCTGGATGTTGCCAGGGCATTTGTAAACTGTCATGGTGCTGCTAATCCATTATAATTAGCGTATGATGAGCAGTAAGGACTACCAGAGGTCACTTGTTGCCATCTTGATTTTGGCAAGTTTTGGCTGGCTTATTTACAGCATCCTGTTTTATCAGCAGGGTCTTTACAACCTGTATCTTGTGATACCAATCCCACTGACCTTCCATCCTGCGATTAAGAATGCCTAACCTCCTGGGAATGCAGCCCAGCAGGCCTCAGCCTCATTTTGCCCTGACCCTATTCAAGATGGAGTCACTCTAGTTCAAACACCTGTGACAGAACTGCCAGGCAAGTTGGAACAGCAAGGAGGGCATCGGGTATTGAGCAGAGTGACAAAGGGGGAAACTAATAAGTGATGACTACAGAAGACAAATGGGGAGGTCTGATAATGGTTTCAGATCGTCATAGCATTTTGGTTTTTACTCTAAATGAATACAAATCCATTTGGTCAGAGTGTTAAGGGTGGAAGGTATTTGAGTTACCAGCAGTGAATCTGTACAGGTCTGCAGCAACCTCAGTTCTTGCCTCCTCTGAAGAAAGAATTCAACTGAGGGACATAAGACAGAAAAAGACCAAGGCAAGTTTGAGAGCAGGAGTGGAAGTTTATTTAAACGGCTGTAGAGCAGGGAAGAAAGGAAAGGAGAGTATGCTTGGAAGAGACCCAAACTGGCACCAAGGTCAAGTGCCCTGTTTAACAGTGGTGCTAGGACTTTATAGGCTGGCACTTTTCCCATGATTCTTCCTTTAGGGTGGGCTGCCCACACATGCAGTGCCCCCCTTACTCTTGGGAGGTGAGCACCCGCAGTGTGTTTAGGAAGCTGTGCACATGCCCACCTGAGACTTTCTTCCCTTTTCCTGTGGAGTGCCCCGAAGGTCATTTGCTGCAATTTTTTCTCTTAATGCGCATGCCCAGGAAGTTGCTTCTCCCTGGTGTCTGCAATTAACACTTTAGTGCAACAGGTGCAGATCATCAGGAAACACAATTTATCACTTTTAGAGAGGCATTGTGATAATTGCTGAACCATTACCCAACATTCCTAGTGTGTGGGAGAGCCCTCTTCTGCCCTGCTCATACCTGTCTTAACTACCTGTAACAAGAGGAGTCACATGGCTAGCTTACCTTCTAAAGGGATTATTGTGGTTGTGGTAGTTGAAGCAGGCAACCACTTAAAGAATTGAGATAATACAAAAGATCAGATTATTAAACCAGACTTATGAGTCAGAAATGTTAGCCATTCTCAAGCTTGACTAATATCAAAGGTACAGGAAATTTTAGGGGACTGCCTATCCCATTCCCCAAGTTCTTCTTGCTGCATTAGGTCCTTCCTAAGATTTACCATGTGACTCCTGCATTGCTTATGGGGTATCACTTATTTTAAAAAGGAGCTATTTAGGTCATGAGATGTCTGTATTGTATGCCGAATATTGTCTGCATTATATGCCAAAAATTAGGCAGCTAATACAACATTTTCTGCACAGCCATATCCCATCAATCTATACCTCTCAGGTTTATTTACAGGGAGCGCCCTATACAAGTCAAGTACGTATTGCTGAAAGCATTCAGTAATTATGTTAAATGTAATTGTACTAAACAACTCAAATGAAAGTTTATTAAGCAAACCTACCAATATGTTGAGAAGAGACACATTTTAAGACACAGAAAGTTTGCAAATTTGGAAAAGCATATGCCACACAAACAAGAAAGTAGGTGTAGTTATCACAGAAAGACTCACAGAAAGAAATAGTACTAGAGATACTTTCACAGTGACTGTAAGTCATTTGAAGACATGCAAATTCTATGTATGCCATTAATAACAAAGTTTCAAAATATATAAACAGAAGTTGTCAGTACTAAAAGGACAAAAAAGCAAACCCAAATTAAAACTGGGAAATTTAACATACCACTCTTAGTGGCAGGAAGAACAAGCAGATAAAATACTCTGGAAACCTTCAAAAGAAGGTTTTTAACAATGTAATTAGCCAGCTGGACCTAAATGACAACTCTAAAGTAAACAAGTTCAGAATGGAAATTATCATCTAGTTTCTGCTGGGTAATCACCAGCATAGACCAACTTTCTTTCTTTCTTTCTCTTTTTTTTTTTTTTTTTTTTGAGACGGAGTCTCGCTCTGTCGCCCAGGCTGGAGTACAGTGGTGGGATCTCGGCTCACTGCAAGCTCCGCCTCCCGGGTTCACGCCATTCTCCTGCCTCAGCCTCCCGAGTAGCTGGGACTACAGGCGCCGCCACCTCGCCCGGCTAGTTTTTTGTATTTTCAGTAGAGACGGGGTTTCACCGTGTTAGCCAGGATGGTCTCGATCTCCTGACCTCGTGATCCGCCCGTCTCGGCCTCCCAAAGTGCTGGGATTACAGGCGTGAGCCACCGCAACCGGCCAGACCAGCTTTCAGAAAGATAGATAACAACTCTATCGGGCATGTTTTCTGAGATTTAAACCAGAAGTCTGTAACTAAATGGAATTAGAATAATCCTCAAATATTTGGAAAAGAAGCAACACACAAAACAATTTTCCATGAATCAAAGAAAAGTCACAGGGAAATTAGAAATTATTTTGATGAAGAATAAAAGGACATACCAAAATCTGAATTATGCAGCTAAAGCAGTGCTTTAAGGGAGATTTATGGGGCTACATTCTTTTTTATAAAATTTAAAAATGCTTAAAAGTCAGTGATCGAAGGTCCCATCTTGAGAAGTTAGAAAAGGACCGGCAAATTAAGCACCACGGATAGAGAAGTAGAAAAAGATGAGAGAAGAATCCAATAAAATACAAAAAACGAAAAGTACGATAGAGAAAACCAGCAAAATAAAAGTTGGTTAAGATTAATACAACTGATATACTCCTAGCAAAAAATAAGCCAGAACAAAAGGGCCTATTTCCAGTATCTGGAATGAAATAAGGAACATTGTGACACATCCTGCAGACTTACTAAAAATCAGGAGAAAATATAATCAACTTTCTTACGTCAATTATTTGAA